TATCCTGCCGTGGTTTCTCCACCCATCCAACTCAATCTGCTATTTGTCCTTCAAAAATCCTTCAAAACCTCTGGTTGTCTTATGGCACCACATTGTGTTTTTCAGTATTCTTTTAGATTTTCTTTTTATAATATCTTTTTCCTTGTTTCAGTGTATCACAGTGTCTGATACATAGTAGGTATAATCAATGTCTTCTGAAGAAAAGAAAAATGGACATGTCTTAGATGAAAAGATGACCATGATGTATTCATTCATTTATAAATCCATTCATCCATTCAATGATTTTTAATGAGATCTGCTGTGGACTAGGCATAGTTCTAAGCATTGGGACACAGCAGTGACAGAACAAAGTTCCTCTTTTCAAGGCGTTTATATCCTAGAGTGCCATTAGGTTTTTTTACAAGTACAAATGCCATTTTTTTACAAATACAAGTGCCACTTATATTTTTTAAAAAAATACAAGTTAAAGAAAAATATAAATAATACAATAACATCTTTGTGTGCAAATGGGTGTGTACACCTGCGTGTGTGTATATATCTTTTCAGATAAAATCTTCAGGGGATAGGATTGGAGAAGCAACACATGAGGAGGCCTGTTTTAATTGCATTTCTTTGTGTTTCTGTGTTGTTCATTAGTATGATTAATTCAGGCTCTGTTCTAGGCACTAGGGATACATCAGTGAACAGAACAGGCAAACCTTTCAGCCTTCTTGGACATCATATTCTAGCAATAAAAGTCACACACTAAACAATAAACATAATAAATTAGTACCTTATGTGGTATACTAGCAGGTGATAAGGACTATGGTACAATAGAACAGAGTAAGGGAAGTTGCAAGTATGATATATGGAGCGAGCAGCACTGGGATGCAATTTCAAATAGGGTGGTGAGGGTAGACTTCAGTGAGAAAGTAACATATCAGCAAAAAGGCAAAGTAGAGGGTTGTACTTGAAAAAGGAAAGGGAAGAGTATTCTAAGGAGAAGGAACAGCAAATACAAAGGTCTCAATGTGGGAGCAAGCTTGGCATGTTCTAGGAGTAGCAAGGAGCCAGCGGGCCTGGAACAGAGCTGGTAAAGGTAACAGAAGTGGTAGGTGAAGGCAGAGAGGAATTGGAGGAGGGGGGTTGGTGCAGAGAATGGCACTTTGGGTCAGTGTAAGGAGTTGGCTTTTATTGTGAGAGAATTTGGGAGTGAGGGGAAAGTTTTCGAGAAGAGTGAAATTATTTGACATACTTTGAAATGATCATTGGGGCTCCATTAGAATGGACAGAAAGGAGGCAAAGGTACAAGCAGGGAGACCAGTTGGATGAGTCTTATAATCATCAGTAAAAGGTGATGGCGGTGGTAGTAGCAGTAGACTTGCTACAAAGTGGTCAGATTAAAGGTACAGTCAACATAATTTCCTGATGGATCTGATGTGGGATTTGGAAGATCACGGATGCCACCATGACCTGAGCAACTGAAAAGGCAGAGCTGCCATCAGCTCAGTTCAGGACTATGGTGGGGGGAGCAGTGGAGATCAGGAGTCCAACTTAGAATTGGTTAGATCTGAGATGTCATTTTGATACCCAAGTGAAGACATCAGTAGGCCATGAGGTTCAGGATTCTACAGTTCAGGAGAGAGCTCTGGGATGGAGATTACAATTTGGGAGTCATGAGCATGGATATATAGATATTGTTCAAAAATTGGAAAAGATCATTTTGGAAAGTTGGCATATAATTTTCTTACCTACTACATCTAATTGTCTATGTCTTTGAACACTTTGTCTAACACAAGTTATCAAGGGTTGACTACTATGTGTGTCCCCTCCTCCCCACTCCCTCTGCCAATTCCCTGGCTCAATTATCCCTCACTTGGTTGAGATGCTCCTGCCTCCATGGGTTTCCCACAGCATCCAACACCCAGCCACCAGACCAGTGTGACTAAAGCATACCTGAGATCATGCAGTGACTCCTCAAGGATTACTTGACACTTGATGAATTAAAGGACCAAATGATTAACCTGCCATCACAGTCCAATCCCAGCCCACCTTCCCAAACCTACAACTCACTAGTCCCCTTCACACACACCATGTTCTTTGCACTATTCCTAAGGGCTCTTGCCTTAGGGTCCTGTGTATACTGGTTCCTCCACCAGAAATACCTTTCCTCTGCGTCCCCAAATGCCTTAACCCTGCCCGTTCTTCATGGAATGATAGAAAGACCACCTATTGCAGTAGACCTCAGCTGACTGCCCCAAATGAAGATAACCTTTCCCACCTCTGATCCCTCACTCTCGGATAGGGGAAGAGCCTGGCCTGGGCAACATTTCCCAAAGGGAGGGCAGCAGGGCAGATACCAGCCCCAAGAAAAATTCTGGGAAGGATTCCACGGACAAACAAGTTCAGGTAATACTCCACTCCACAGCCCTCTCTTAGAAATTAGCATTACGCATTCACGTGTTGAATGCTCTCAACAGTCCTTTGGTAAGAAAAAACTATAAAGCTTTGTTTAACCCAGTTTTCACAAATGTATTTGACTTTCAATCCCTTTTATCACGGAATGCTTACTAACTTTCTGTGGAACCAGCGTTCCAAGGTGCCCACAGAGTACCTGGAGCTGGAGACCTGAATTCTGGCCATGATTAAGCACCTCTCAGTGCTGGTTTACCCCAGGTCCAGGCCCAGATAAGGCCATTGTGTATCCTACAGGTGACATGTTGTCCCCAGGCCCAAGCAGGGAACCCAGACATCCCAGAACTGGACTTTCCTAGACAATGGCACTAGCCTCACAGGTTTTGACAGGCGTGCCCCTCTGGTTCCTAAAGACTAAATGGCTTACTACCCCCACAATGACTTATGGCCACATGGGTTACGATGCCAAACTACTAGCTATGTGACCTTTACCAGGTCATCTCTCTTTACGGACCTCAGTTAACTCATCTCTTGGTTGAGGGGCTGGTCTGGATGGCGTCCAGTGCTCCACCCAACTGTGATGAATGGACTCTGCGTGTCCTTCTTTGAACTTTAGCTACTCTGCCATGTGGCCTCTCTTCCCTACTATCCCCTAAATCTGGGATCTCTTTCCACGTTATTGTTTTATCTCTTCAGAGTAAGGCAGAGGACGTTGAACATGGTTGGAACTCAAATAAATATATGCTGTATAAATATTTAAAGATGACTGAGGCATTTGAGACTCCAAAAAAAAATTCAAAATTAGTCTTCGAGAGGATGAAAAATTAAATGAAATCTAAGAAGCAAAATGATCTGGTCAAAGCAGCAAGCACTACAGAGAACTAGTTCTGTACCATTTTCTAGCATTACCACTAAGGAAAGAGCACTGCCAACAATGGCTACCAGTGGACGTTTACTCTTGGTAAGGCGCAGTTCCCAATGGCTCACAAGTTACGATCCTCACACCAACCCTATTAGGTGGCTACTATTATTATCCCCACTTTACAGATAAGAAAACTGAAGCACAGAGGGGTTAAGCAACTTGCCTGAAGTCTCCCAGGTGACAAGTGATGTATTCAAACCCCCAGCAGTCTAGCTCAAAGCCCACCCTTAACCACTGTACTAACCTGCCTCTCCCTCCCTTCCTTTCACTAGTATTTGCTCGCTCCAGTTTATTACCCAGATGGAAACTGAGGCCCAGAAAGGCTTAAAGATTGTTCAGTGTCCCACAGCTCTCTTTCCACAATACAACACTGATTCAGCGGTCCCATCTCACTACGATAAACCTTTGTGATGTCACCTACAGCCAACCACTGAGGAAGGGGCACGGGAGTGAAGTGAAGGCCGCAGTTCAGGGACTGTATGCTGGAGATGAGGAATTAAACTGGCAACGAATGGAAAGGAAGAGGACTATTCAGGGGATACAGTGAAGGAAGAAGTGACAGCCCTGGGCAGCCACCTGAAGGGAAGGTAAAGGGGCATGAGGAGCCTAGGGAGGTGACAGAATGGACAGCAAGGCCCCAGAGGGTGGGAAGGCAGACAGGGAATAGTCTAGGAAGGACAGAAAAATCATGTTATTTGTAATTGCACACATTTTCAGAACTCATCCAAAAATTATAGAAAAACATGCCTTACAAACCCAGGAAGTATAGTTTGGGACTGCGAAGGTTGAACTGAAGCAGCATTCGCGAGAGAAACTGGTACAGTCTGTGACATATAATAGGCACTCAATAAATGTTTGTTCCAAGTAAAAGAGACAAAAAGAGGAAAACCTGAGAATTTCTTTCATAAAGAGAAAGGCACCTAAGGGAGTAGGTGCTCAATAAATACTATTTTTTGTCTGTGTACTGTGAGAAGCCTGGAGAGTTATAAAAGATTATCTGATATATTTCCAAGGAGCCCTTAGCCTCTGATTTTAATTCTTGAAAATTCCCTGGGGAGTCTGTGGACGCTCTCACTGGGGACTTTCAAGAGCATATTGTTAGAAGAGCCACTTGGAGGGGGTGATCTAGATGATTGCAAAATGGATGAGTTGAGGTAGAGAGGCTAGACCCAACGACCCCGCAGTCCTTTTCAGTTCTAATTTCCGTGTAATCAGTCCCCTCAGAAGCTGAAGTTTCCGCTCTGCTCTTTACGGAACGGAGATGGACTGGATGGACCAACAGACACTGCCATCCCACCAGCTGGGAATGGCTGAGTGATTTGGAAACCTTCCAGAAGGGCCTGGTTAAATTGTAGGCCATTTACTTATTTCATGAAGAAATACACCACAGAGAGCCCTTTTCAAACATGCACGCGGAAAGGGGCCAAAATGCTGAGGAGGTTATCTGTTCAGAATTTACTTTAAAAGAGCCTAGGCAGCCCTCATTTATTTTTGAGAAAATATATGATTAACCATAGTTAACCATGAATTCAGATGTTGTGCATTAGACCAGCTCCTCAAAGTTTGAGAGCATTTAATATTATATATCGCTGCCATTTGGACTAAATTGTTTTTTTAATGTACACAATATTACAAATTTAATTTGAGCTGTTTGAATCAGTCTGTAAAAAAGATTTGATTATACCTGAGTGTTCTGGCCCCGGCTTTCTCGTATCTCAGTAATCTTGGCGGTAATTGGCTGATTAGGGCTCTCACACTCCATCTTTGCCTCAGTTTCCATGGTAATGTTACAGGAGCTATTATAGATGAGAACTTCATCTCTTTCCACTTTAGGGCTGAAACGAGAGGGGAGGTTAAATGGGGTGTCATCAATCTTAATGAAATGCAATTATTTTTACTCTTATTAATCATTGCAAGCCATTAGCTTGTGGCAACTACAGGCCACCATTTGTCAAATTTTGCAAATTTCTGTAATTTTGTTTCCATTCTTTTATTGTTTATTTGTTTTCCCTTTATCTGCACACCCTGCAATGAAAATGCACATGGTAAATATCTTTCACTGAAGCCTTTCTCTTTTCCAAATCTATTAGGAACGTTAGCAAAAGCTTCTCCCAGCCCAACTTAACAAGCAATTCACAGACAATACTTCTAGTTCCAAAAATGGAAGCAAATGTTGGGGAGAGTTTTTTTCCTTTTCCCCTTCCCTCTTCCTGTTCTTACTCACACTTAGTGCTGGGGGAGTGAATTGCCTGAATCCCCCCAGGGCAGATGGAGAAATTGGAAAACCCACACAACTGGCTAACTGGTCCCTAATTCCAACTGTGAAAAAATGAGCTCATTTAGGCTTGCAATTCCCTCTCCCCAGCTGATGGCAATGAGGCTCTGTTGCTAGCAGTGGAACATTAACTTAGTAAATTAATTAAACTTACTTAACAGCCCAGACTAAGGAGATTCGATATATGTGCCAGTTATACTACCAGCCACTTGCTTTAAAAGTCCTCTTGCTTTAAGGAGAGAAGCCAGACTGGATTTAAAATGAAAAACAGCAGTGTAGCATTACAGAAAGTCTAAAAGTATGCGGTCTAGAGGAGGCGAGAGGTGGACATTGCAGGGTACTGTCCCCAACAGGTGTGATATTTATTCGAGAATAACCCCGGCTTTAGGCATTGTCGCAACTAACAAAGATTATTAGTAATACCAATGCACGATGTTTTATACTCTTCAACAATTTCATATGTATGATCTCATTTCAGCCAGTAAAGTAGGTAAAGGCATAAAAAATGTAACCCAAAGAGATCAGAGGATTTGCGTAAAGTCAAACACAAAAGTACAGCAGCTCCAAGATTAGAACCCAGGTGTCCTGTCTCCTAGAGCAGTACTCTCAACTTTTGAGATGCTGACTGAACACCAGCCACAAAGATGGTAGATCCCATGGGAAGACCAGGAAGGGTAGTGGAAAGGGCAAAAGGTCACTGCTTGAGAAACTATAAATCATGTGGAACTAGAGCAGTTTTTTTCCAAACCAATGTCAAAATGGTTTCTCCCACAATGTGCTAGAAATAATGAGCAGGATAACTACCACATGCACTTAATCTTCTCCTCTTCTTGCTCAAATATTCCCAGCTCCGTATCCACCCAAGCCGTGACTTCCGTACTCACTGTCCCCTAGACCTACTGTAGAGTGCCAATATCTTAACATCGTGTGGCTCCAAACTGAACGCCCATAGTTTGGACTGCCATCGGGGCTGGGGTCTCCATTTATCTGAGCTCTCCCTCCATGGCACCTAACATTGTGTTCAATTTGTAGCCACCAAAATGCTCAAATTAAGATGGTGGTAAACTCAAATTCTCAGAGTGCCATTACCTGAGGATTGCTCCATGCTGTATTTGTTCAGCTGATTTTCTGAGAAGCGTTAGCAGGCAGAGGTTAGGCTTGGAAACAGACCAGCTAGATTTGAATCCCCAAGCTGAATCCCCAAGCCATGTGAAGACATGACTCTCTAAGCTTTAGTTTCTGTGTTCATAAAATGGAGTTACTAATCATTGAGTCCCCATTTTATAGAGGTTTTGAGGAGATGGAGCAAAACGAAGACTACAAAATGATTTGTACAGAATCTGGCACACAGTAAGTGTCCGATGAGGGCAGCTCTTGCTATAGCTTTTGGTGGTAGTGGTATTGGTGGTATTGTTATTGAAATATAAATGTGGGAATTTACATTCACTATTGTTACATGTTATCTCACTGAGGCGAACCCATTGCTCAAATACATTTTGAATCTGGAGCCTGTAATGTAGCTACAAATCCATTTAGCTGAGCCATGATCCAGGGCATAGACAAAGCACAGGATAAATATAGCATTTGGTCCAGAGGTGTCAGTTGTACTCAAAGATTCAGAAAGGAAAAGCAAAGTAACAAACTTTTAAATTAAAATAAAATATAATATTTAGATAAATATGGAAATATGATGGAATAGAATGGCAAAACTCACATGGACTTTTCAAATAAAACATTTGACTTCAAAGCAACTTGATGTTTGTATCAAGCCGCTTTGGGCTCTGCAGCTCGAACCTTTCTTTTGCTTCTGGGGGTGGGAGAGGTTGTTGGAATAATTTAAGAAGCTCTCCCTCTATATTTCTGTCGTAAATTGCTTATAAATCCATCAGAAAGGAAATGAAGTTGGTTTAGCACACCATCTCATTCCTTGTGAATCGGTTCCCAGAGAGCTACTTCCATTTCTGAAGGCTGATAAACCATCTTATTAATAATTCATTCTAGAATTTTGTCAGGAATAACACAAGCTTAGTTGTCTAAATTTCCAGAATCCCCTCTTTTCACTTATTAGGCAAGTAAAAGAATACTCGCCCATCACCTCTGTCTGTTGTGTGTCCCCCTCTCACGTTCATGACCAGCAGTGGATCCTCAACCGTACGAGCAAGTTTTTTGGATTCAGTATATGAATGACCTGGGATACCGACTTGAACTCAAGAAAAGAAGGGACCAACTTCCTTTACAACCTTTAGTCTCGAGCTTCCACTCTCCTAGCGAGCCTTCTTCTGCCCTTTCTAGACTCTTCATCAGCAAAGGTTAGAGTAAAATGGAGTAAGTCACTCTGCCCTCTTTTGTTAGCCTGTAGCAATGCACTATCTTCCATCATGTTCTTCTTGCTTTGAAAGAGTTAAAAACCTCTTTCTGCTAGTTCAGACTTTTTTACAAGCTTTAGCTCATATTACTTTTTGTATTTGTCCCTGATTATCTCACTAGAGATTTTTTTCATTAAAAAGTCATCATCAAAATTAGCAGAGACACCAGGATATCAAAAGACTGAAATTTACAAAATTTCAAAGTTTCTTGATAGCTACTATTCCATGTTTTCTTCCACAATAATCATATGAATTAAGTGGTACAGTTGGCCAGATTTAAATAGAAATCTAAACATATGTGTATATAGAGAGATACATAGAGATAGATGATGTAGACAGGCATGCACACATACATGCACACAAATATTTATTTTGAGGGGATGTGGTAAAAATTGTTGGTTGAAATGGTGGCAAAGATAGTTCTAGAACCTGAGTTTCCTGACTCCCAATCTATTGCTCTTTCAGTTGGTCTGATCAGATCAAAAAGTGAGCAGGTAATCTTCTTACGTGTGCTCTCTAGGATGGGCAATAAAACACTCACAGTCATTCTGTCTCCCTCACTTTGCCTGAAATTGCTTCCTATGACTCTGAAATCTCATTGAAGCCACACAGCTCAGCCACGGCTCTCATCACTGATGCTGACAGCCTGGCATCGAGCTAAGTACACTGCGAGTCAGAAGCCTTGGGTTCCAGTCCTGACACTGCCAAGGCTTGACTGTGTGACTCTGGAAAGATACTTAATCTGTTCTTAGAACAGAATCTAAACTCCTTACTATGGCTTTCAAGGCCTTACCTCTACCTCCCCGGGCTCATCTAGAGACCTTCCTTCCTTCTTACTCCACTCTTGAGCTTCTGGCCTCTGGCATTTCGTAAAACTTGTTGGGTCCTTTTCATATATGCTGCCCCCACTATCTGACTCCCCTTAATGACATCTTCTTCTCCTTAGCTCAGCATAAAAGACACTTCTTCAGAGAAGCTTCCTCTGAGCACATTGTGTAAAGTAGACCCCCATTATTTTCTATCACTTTATAGCCCTTATCACAACATGTGATCCTCTCATTTATTGTCAGGCTTTCTCCTCACCCTGAAGCTCAGGGACTCCGCCATCTTATTCAGCACTGAGTCACCAGCTCCTGGCACGCTACCTAGAACACAATAGGCACTTTATAAAAACTGGATGGATGGATGAACTGGGCATATTTTTGCCACAGATACGCATGTCTACCTTTGCCTAATGACATCCATAGTAGTAGTGGCTGGCAGGGGACTAAAGCAGCTAATGGAAATGGGTTCCTTGCAAAGATCCTGGAAAGGAGTTCTCTGAGTTCATAAGCATAAACTTAAGAGGAACCAAGGTAAGCCATTTGGCACATGATTTTCTTAATGCCCCTTGTATAATTTATAGTGCATTTTCTAGTTATTAAATTAGTACATATTCACTGAAAAAAATAGAGAAAAACTCAATGAAGAAAATAAATATGATCAGTACTCCAGCCACCTGGGGATAGGCACTATCAACATTTTAGAACACATCCTTCCAGTCTTTTTCCAATCCCCTGTTATATGTGTTTACAAACATATGTACTATATACACCATTAGGATTAAATTGATCCACTATTTTGTGACCTGTGCTTTTCACTTTCCAATGTATTATAAGCATTTCCCTCTTTGGTTAAATATTCTACATCATGATTTTTAAAGGCTTCTTTGTATTATCATTTGGATGCAATCTCTATTACAATACACTTATTTCATTTCAAATTTTTGTCATTATACCTAAAACTTCAAAGAATATAGTTTTTCATAAATATTACATATTTCTAACTGCTTTCTTAAAATCCTAGGAGTGAGGGCCGGCTCCGTGGCTTAGCGGTTAAGTGCGCGCGCTCTGATGCTGGCGGCCCGGGTTCGGATCCCGGGCGCACCCCGAGGCACCACTTCTCCGTGCAACGCGAGGCCGAGTCCCACGTACAGCAACTAGAAGGATGTGAACCTATGACATGCAACTATCTACTGGGGCTTTGGGGGGAAAAAAATGAATAAATAAAATCTTAAAAAAAAAAAAAAATCCTAGGAGTGAAATTGCTGGATCACAGAGTATGAAGAATTATAAGGTTATTAGTGCATATTGCTAAACGATATTAATAGATAAGAGCATAGCTTTCAGCAGAATCTGAGGCTCTCACCTCAGCCACCTCTTAGAGTGAAGAAGAAGGGCGTAGAAGAACTCGGAAGCATAGTTTTGGGGATCTCGATAAGTCCTCAAATTCATGGAGCCAGGAACTGTACTGACATGTACTTCTTGGTCTCTAGCATTAGTGAGTTCTCAAATCCGGTCTCACCTGAGTACAACCTCCAGCATCCCGCTTCCCCTGTGACCTAAACAGGGCTCTTCATGCTGTTCTAGAAAGCAAATGGCCACAGACTTCCTCTCTTCCTCTGGCTAAACATAAACCTCTGGTGGCAAATTCGTACACAGGCTGTCTCAGGACATCCAAAGTCAGACTGCCATGAGAAGGGCTGGTTATCTCTTTCATTCTGGGTAATCAGTCTTGATTAGTTATTTTTTAATGGGAAAATAGGACTTCACTAAATAATCAGATGTAACTACTCCATCTAGATAAGAAATAAAGAAGGATGCAGAGGAATGTCCAGCACTGAGATATCCCACTGCAGAGGAAAAGAGCTGCTTGTGGAAATAAGGCCATCAGAGTTACCAATATGGTCACACTTTTCTTTTTAATTTGTTTAGAAAAGAGGGGTTTTACCTGGAAAGTTGTGGTATTTAGTTGTTTGTTTTTTAAGTTCAAAAAATCCTTACAAGCTTACAGCTCCTAAATCCTAGATCTGCAGTGATTCCGCCTGTGCATCCCCCCTTCTTTTGAATAAACATTGTACAATCTGCTGGATTTCTCTATGACTTTTTTTCATATTTGTGAATCTGTTTGGAAAGAAAAGAAAAAAGAAAGGGGGAAAGAGCCTTCTGTTTTTCATAACGTCTAATCTTTCTCCCCACTGGCATTCACCAGATGTTGCTCTGGATCGGAAGATAAATATTAAAACCTCAGCAAGAACAAAGCGGGCTGTTTACTGGGTAAATTTTTCAGATGTTCTCTTGAACACTTGAAAAGACAGGAGATGCTTTGATATGCAGGCTGGCTGGAGTTCACAATGGAACGTCCCTCCAACAAGAGCGGGGGGGCCCCTGGGGCCACGTCCACCCGGCCTGCAGTTCCTAATGCCTCCATCCGTCCATCAGCCATGCGTCCATGGGGAAGGGCAGGGAGGGAGAGGATGGGGTTACCTGAGGAAGAGGCCTGAGAACCATGGAGAGACTGACTCTGTCCAATGACCTGGTGCAAAGAGGCATCGGGAACTTTCTTCACAAATGTAGAGGTAAGGCCATGATCGGAGCAGTCTCTCTGTCCCCATGGTGACCGTCAAATCACACTGCACATAGGTGGGGCTGGAGGCTTCACAGCTCTCCTCCTTGTGCTTCAGGCCACACAGGAAAGCCAAGGACACTGCGGGAAATGGGCACCATTAGGTTAGGTAACAACCACAGGAAGAACTGAAGCCCTCACCTTGTTACATGGGTGAAGTTCATGTGTTACCCTTGATCAACAGGGAAATGAAGTTATCAGTTCACTTTTTTTAAATGTATTATGTATACATAATACACACAGAAGAATATAAGTAACATTTTTGTAAAATGTAAATCGTCATCATAAGACAGACTCGTGAATCTACCAGCCAACACAAGATGTAAAAAGAGTTGTGATCATCTCCAATCTGTGTGCCCCTTGCCAAGTCCACCCCCTTCCTCCTCATCCTCAGAACAGCCACTTGCATTTTTTAAATAGTTTTCTCACACCGGTTTGTAGTCCTAAACAAGAAATTGTTGAGTTTGACTAGTTTTTGAACTTTATAAAATAGAATACATGACATAATATTCTTGGACCTGCTTTTTTCACTCAATATTATGTTTCTGAGATTTATCCATATTATTGCATGTAACTACTGCTCGTACGTTTCCACCGCTGTTCAATATTGTGTTATGTGAAGGTACTACAATATATTTATCTATTCTCTTGCCAATGGCCTTTTCGATATTTCCCAGTTTTTGCTACTATAAACATGCACAAAATTTTCTCTAGGGTATATGCCTTAAAGAAAATTGCCATTTCATAGGGTAGGTACCAGTTCAACTTTACAAGATGGTGCCGTATTGTTTTCAAAGTGGTTGTGTCATTTTACATTCCTCCCAGCTGTATTTATGAGTTCCCATTACTTCACATAATTGTCAGCACTTGGGATTATCAGAGTCTTAATTTTGGCCAGTCCAGTGCATATATAATGGCGTGTCATTGTGGCCTTAATGTGCATTTTCATCATTACTTTTTAGGTCAAACAACATTTTATATGTTTAGTAATAACTCACATTTCCTTTTCTGTGAAATTCCTATTTCTGTCATTTGCCCCTTTTTCAATTGGAATGTCCATCTTTTTCTTATTGATTTGTGCTCTTTATATATTCTGGGTACTTATCCTATAGAGATTATATAGTTACTTATACTTTCTCCAAGTTCGTGGCTAGACTTTTTATTCTCTTTATGGGGTCTCTTAATTAACAGAAGTTCTTGGTTTTCATATAATTTTAACTGCTAACATTTTACAAAGAATAAATGAAATTATTTGAAGCCCTTTGACCGTTAGGCCATATCTTTCTGGGTCATGACACACAATGTAAAAAGCATCAACAAGGCAATTTGGCAACAACCTTTAACAGGAAGATAAACAAGTCTCTACGTGAGATGGTTTTGTAGAAGCTATGTCTGAAAACCTTAACAAAGCAAAGGAGAAAAAAACCTCTCTAGCCTTCTACCTCTGCAGCTAGCCTTCCATGCAAGTAATGCAGGTACGCAATAAATGTCGTCAAAGACTGTGGGCTTGAAACGAAGCTGCCCTGCCTGCACCACAGCTCTGCATGCAGCAAGGGGCCAATGAGATAAGTCCGTGTGAGAGGGTTTGCAGCTATTCAATCACACACAAGTATTATCATTGTTGCTGGTACATCCCAAAGCACCTGACACATAGGAGGGTCCCTGTGAACGTGTTCCAAAGGAATTATAGCAGTTAAAGTGGTTGTCAGTAGGACTCTCATATGGATAGACAAAATATGAGAACTTTCCAGTTTGTAAGGCCTATGGCAAATAAAAACAGGCTCAACACCGATAAAATAATAAATGCATGACAGGTGATGAGGTGGATGCAAATTGACAAGGTGGATTACAAAAAGTACCCAGGGCTGGGGATACAATCCATGGATTTTAATCAAAGTTCTGCCACTAAATAGCTGTGTGACCTTCATGTTCATGCCTCACGGAAAAATTAAAAGTTTCCGTGAAGAAGTCATGCGGTATAATTTAAGGTATAAATGCAAGAAATCCAAAGATCAATGCATTTTACAATGCATTTGTTTCACCTAACAAGATGTTTTATCAGCCCATCATATGAAAACGCACAACTCTTCTTTTGTTAGAAGTACAATTTGGGGGGAAAGGTCAAGATAGATGACACCAAAAGCAGCACAAGCACTATTTTTAGAGCTCCACCTTTAAGGGCCCTGCCCCACTGATGAAAAGAAAACACATTACACTGTGGCATCGGGACAAGCAAAACAATAATTAGGGAAGTTTGAGTCGCAGGTCGTCCTCCACAACCCGGAAAGTGAAACACTGCTTTCTATAGTGTCTAAAGTCAAACCAAGGAATAAAACTCAAAGCAAGCATCTGAATTCAAAGTGACCCTGGTCAATTAGAGAAGTTAACAGAAATAAATAAAAGACTGAATGAATATAGTAAGGCAGTAAACCACAGAAAAAACAAAAAAGAAATCATATAAATATGAGGAAAGCCCAGCTGTGCACAGCCGCGTTAGAAAGAAAGAAAAACACAGAGAACACCTTGGAATAATAATAGGTAACCGAAAGATTGTAAACCAGCAAGACAGCAGTGTAATTTTAAAAACAAATACTAGACCAGATTATATGTAGGCATTTTAAGATGTTACCCAATATGGCCAGAAGTTGCTTACATAGAGGAGCTACCTACTTTTGGGTTTCAAATTAGGAAAGAATGTTGGAATTCAGAGAGGGCTCAGGAGAGAAATACCAAAATTGCTTGCTGGAAAGTTGCTGATTCAGTAGGTCCCAAGAATTTGCATTTCTAACAAACTCCCAGGTGCATCTGCTGTGGCTGCTCCAGCAACAATCATAATAATATTATATTTTCAATAATAATCTGATTCTCAATAATAATCTCATTGAGAACCACTGCATTAGAAGGACTGAAATTATTTAGCTTCTGAAGGGCCGCCAGCTGATTAAAGTTGGAAAAAGTAGAGTAGGGGAGCGTTTTAGTTAGGTAAAAACATGGATTTCTCTGAGAATGGCAACTGTGAAACATTTGTAAGGGCTGCTGTTGTGAAATTGCCCTCTAAAAAATCTTTTCAAATATAACAGATTCTTACCTAAGCTGGTTATATGTAACGCTATATGAAAGTAGGAGAATTATTAGTAGTTTCTAATAATTTCTGAGACGCATTCCCTTTGACCATTTGATGTCCATTATGGACCTACTTCTCAGGAAAAAAAAAAAAACACAATCATATACTCAAAGCGTTTTATTCAGTTTTAGTGAGTTGATAGAATCCTCAAATCTCATCCTGGATCTTAAGTAAGAAACCAATGGAGGTGGCTTTCATTAGTTCCTCTCCACATTTAGACACTGTAATTAAAAGTTTTTAAAAAGACTTTTTTTAATGAAAGGAACATAAGTCAAATTATCCATTTCCCTAAATGAGCAGCCCTTCCACAATCAATGAGTGTTTGGTGACACCTAGTGGCAATAGTAAGTTATAGCTTCCAACTCATGTTTACCTCTTAAAAATCAAGGAATTTTGAGGAGTCCTTTTCTAAACTTAATTAAATCTTTTAAAATATAATAATTTCTATTATTCCTCTCCTAGGAGTTATAAAACTTCCAATATCCCAATTTACCTGACCCTGAAACCTCACTGACTTTTATTTTGTACTTCTAGTTGAAATTAAATCTCTTGAAAGAATACCAAGGGGCTTTAAAAAGTTGCTACACCCTGTGGCGTAGCAGTTAAGTTCACACGCTCCGCTTTGGCGGCTCGGGGTTCCTGGGTTCCGATCCCAGGTGCAGACTTACACACCATTTATCAAGCCATGCTGTGGCAGGCCTCCCACCTAAAATAGAGGAAGATGGGCACGGATGTTAACCAAGGGCCAACCTTCCTCAACAAAAAGGGGAGGATTAGCAATGGATGTTAGCTCAGGGCTAGCTAATGTCCCTCACACACACCAAAAAAAAGTTGACTAATTTAAACCATGTATATGTGAAAGCCTAAAAAAAAAAACTTTAGCAGTATTAGTCAAATACCAGAACCTAGAAACGTGGAGTCTGGGTTTTCCATTTCCACTGTTTCCCAATTCCCTCATTTATTCCTCCATCAAGCATTAATTTTGCACACACCCTGTGCTGGCACTCTTCTATGCAGAGAACAAAACAGACAACTTAAACTTAAATCTTCTACCATATCTTAAGTTTCCTATTGTGGATTCTTAAGTGGAATAGATCTTCCATAACGTTCTGCTTATATACATGATGATAATAGGAAACTCAATTTCTAGTAATTTAAACAAGGATTGTTTCTCCTCCCCCTCCTCCTCCTTCATATCTGAGACAATCCGTCATGGAATTTTTGTCCAAGCTCGGATGAAGTGATGCTTTTATCACTTTGTAAATCCTTCACCCACATTCAAGTTGCAGACGCATAAATTAGGAATATAACTTAAAGCACTGTACAGAAAGCATGCAGGCAAATGGTGTTTAAGTGTACAGGTACAAGATCTATGGTTATGCAAACAAGGTAATCACCTGCCTAAGTTGTTCCTGGAATAGTAATGGCAATTTCTTCCCTCTGACTTTTTTTCCTGAAGCTCAATGGGTAATTATCACGTGTTGTAAAGCCCCATCGTGGGACTGTCAAAGCTTTGCACCTTCCTTTCTAACAAAGACATGGCTTCCTGTACCACAATTTACATGATGGCTGCGAAGCTTAAAGCAATGAGAGATGTGGTGTTTCACTGAGCAAGGGCTCAGGTAAGCACCTGGACAATACAGAGTAAGAGGATAATGTTAATTTTGGTTCTTTTGCCTATAAGAATTCAGGAACTGAGTACGGGCTAGGCAAACGTACAAGAGATACCCAGCCTGGTGATCTAATTCCTTCACCAGGCCCTCCAGGAACCAGATGTTTTCAGCATCCTCACCTCAGAACAAGACCAAGAGATTGTTTTCCTCATGATGCCCAAGGCTGCCATTGAAACTTATTCAGAACTCAGAATTACTTTCTCCATCATCATATGACTGCAATCAAGAGCAGAGGTGATAAATTTTTTGTTGCCATTATATGACAAAAGTTATTATGAACCATTTTAATAGGCCGTCCCTGATTCTAACTACCATTTTAGATAGGGAGTAGAGAAATTCTTTTCCCAGGAACACATAGAAAAATTAGGAGTCAGTACAGTATTAACTACAAAAATGGAGTTAACCAAAGAATATCATTTTCATATATGCTCTTTCAAAAAAAATGCAGCATTTTTACTGACCATCCAGGGGCATAACCAAGCAGCTGAAGGCAGATGCTGTAGCGTTAGCCAAGACCTGGCAGGGAGCACCACACACGGCAGCTGAGATGTTCTCTGGAGAAAATCCTGCTCCAAACACGTGCACGAGCCTTCCACCCAGGCAGCCTTTAAAACAAAAGTACAAGCTCATGTTCATAGAGGCAAATCTCTTTTCTCTACTTAACTCAAAATTCAAATCCGTGCTTCCTTGCTGACCATCTTTCTTTTTATGTCCTCCAGAACCCACACAACTGGCTTTAGGTCCCTGATATCCTGTTTCTTCTCACTCAGCTCTGGCCTCCAGAGTGTGGAGTCCTTGTTCTGTCAGATCCCAATCATTCAATGACCTCTAAAAAATGTAATAATTTTTATATAGAAGAGTAATGCTTATTTACAGTCTTAAATTTTTTTGTATAAAAGAGTATGAAAAGAAAGTAAAAGTTCCCCTAACCACCTATCTCATTCCCTAGAGGTAGCCATGTATAGAGTTTCTTTTGAATCCTTCCAGAATTTTCTAAGTATATATTTTTTATAGAGAGAGATCTTCGTATACATATTTTTCTACAATGTGTTTTTTTAGTTAAAGTTATAGCATAGACATTTTTCCAAGTCTATATATGTAGACCTGGCTCATCATTTTAATAGCTACTTAGAATTCCGTGATATGATTATGCCATAACTTATTTAGCAATTTCCCTATTGATTGATACTTCCATTATTTCTCTCCCTTTGCTATAATTATTGGTGCTGCAATGAACTGCAATGAACTGAATTTTATATGAGTAAAATTGTTGCAAATTCTTAGAGGTGAAGTTGCCAGGTGAAATAAAGGTAAATTTTTAGTTTTGAAGGATATTGCCAAATCTCTCTCCGAAATAATGTTGTACCAGTTTACACTGCTTGCGGCACAGTATGAGAGTGCCCGTGTCTGATGGGTACAAGCATGACGATTCTTAATAGACATGTTTTGCTTCAATTTGAGAACCAATAAAGGTAAATGTTATCTGGACTCTCAGGCATAGGGAAACCGCTAGTCCACACTGAGATACAGAGTTCCAGTTTCCACCGCCTTCATGTCAAGACCAGGTGGCACTTACACAGCCACCTGACAAACTCAGGAATAACCCTTTCTGCCCGGGTGCATTTCATACCTCTGCTCTCTCACCATCAAAATCATGGGATCTTAGAGAGTAGAATGGAGAACTAGGGAGCATCCAGTCCAAATCCCTTAACCAGATAAGGAAGCTGAGACTTAGAAAAGTTACCCAGCTAAGCTACTGATGTACTCAGGACCAAACTCCCCATCCCCACAGCTGAGACCGGACAAATTCGTCCTAAGAAATGGCTTGGTTAGTGCTTCATCCAGCTAAGATTCTACTCCCATAATTTCTTCCATACTTCCTGAATCACAATCAAATTTAAGCTATCTCAAGTACAGCGAGGCTTTAAGTGAACAGAAACCAAAACCATCATTGGAAGAAAAGGCAAGGCAAATTTCAGTACAACTAAAAGGAGAAAAATGCAATCATATTATGCAATTGACCTATAATTGGTGGAGTATGAATTCATCTGTGAAATATTACAAAATTATAAAAATTAATCATATTTAATAAGTTTAAAATAATTCATATTGGCATATAGGTCTAAAAATAGGTGAAGACATTTATGTTCTACTAAAATGATCAAATTATGAGCTCTTACAAGTGGTATTAATTTAAAACAAATTAAATTGGGTTAAGGCATCAAATTAAAATACAATCGCACACTTAGAGAATACGCACAATTCCCTTGATAAAAAAATCAAAGCCTCATTCACGGAGCATTACAAAGACAAGTTTTAGGAGGAAACTGGACTGTAAGAGGCCAGTCAGGCTCCTCTCTCCTCTATCAGTCAGATTGATGTGCTCCTCTACCTCCTAGAGGAGTGAGAGGAGCTATCAATCCACTTACATAAAGAAAGTGCTCTATCTCTTTTGCTCTACTTACCAAAGTTCTCAGTCACTGTCGTAATAGTAACTCTGGACGTGAACACCAGCTCAGACGAGGCCCACCCTCTCTTGCGGTCGTAACCTCTGACTTGGTACTCCCCAGCAGGAAGGGAGGGGACCACACACTGGAGAACAGTACAGTTGCCAGAGACACCCCTACAGGGTGACATCCCGATTAAAACGTCAACATTCACAGCTCCTGAGATCTGGGCCACTGTAAAGGTTAAGAAGTCATCCGTCTGAGAAATAGAGAGCAATTCTGGGGTGAAGGCATGGCTGTAACCAATGACTCCCATCTGATATGAAAGTCCATCCACCTCTATGTTCAGGGCCACAGTGCCGTTCCCTGCGGGAACAATGCACCGGATGAGCTCAGAGCTGATGTTCACCAACAGGCAGGCCAGCTCGCCAACGTAGACTACCGTGGTGTTCCTTCCTCTCAGGGCTGTGCCTTCCATGGTCAAGAGGCTCCCACCATGTATGCTGAAATTCTTGGGGAAATAACGAAACACTTGAGGCAAAATGTTGAAGTGTCTGGAAACGTTACCAGAACAAGCATATCCATTTCTTGTATGAAAAACTGATAGGTAGTGAGGTCCTGGGGTCAAGTCACTCATCCAGCATGCCACGTGGCTTGCATTAAAGAAAGTTACATTGCAAAGAAGATGATCATCCACAAACACCACTGGCTCATCAGTGGTGGTGCCTAACCTCTGACCCCTAATCATCACTGTGGTCAGAGACCCACTGATGTTAGTGGCCAAGGAGTCCACAATGGGAGTTGTCTCTTCCCTCAAGAAAAGAGCACAATCCCCCTGACACTTGCTGGGGAGCCCATTGACCAGGACTGTGACGTTCAGGGTGAAGGAAGCGCCAGGCAAGGAGTCACCCACCAGGTGAATCTGGCAGAGGACTGTCTGGTCCCCCAAGCTCAAAATCACACAAGTAAAAGGACCCGAAAGGTCCACCTGAACTGACCTCCTCCTAGAGTTGAGAGCCAACCCCCTCACTGTGAGCACTGTCCCACCACAAGCAGACCCGTGTGCTGGGAAGATGGCCGTTATCCGAGGTGTCACCACAAATTGCTGGGGCACCGCAGACATGTTAGCAAACCCCATCTGCTTGTGACGTACTTGGAGAGGATGAATGCCCGCCTCCAAACTGTGAAGGGGAAAGGAGCACCCAGACAGGCTTGTGTTGCTCCCAAAAGACTGTGTCTCCAGATCACAGGTCAAGCCCCCCAGAAAGATCACTGAGTTGGAGAGGTTACTTCCTTCCACGTAGAGCCTCAGGCTGCTGTTCGTGATTTCCCCTCTCAGGGAAGTGACCACTGGTGTTGCCTCTGCTTCATATGTGAAGGTAAAGCCCTTCCCCACCAGGCTTGGAGGAGGTCCTCGGGTGAGAGACATGTTGCCAGCCCAGACCTCCACGGGGGCTGGGACAGTGAGAACGTCCGCATCAGGCAGCAGGGGCACGGGCGAGGTCTCACACCAGACGTTCCTCTCCGTTGAGTTCACGATGTCGCAGGACCGATTGCCCACAAGCACCCAAACCAAAGCGGGGTCCCTGCCGAACCCTATTCCTGAGATGCTGAGGATGGTTCCACCTAAAGCATGAATATTGAAAACAAAACGTAAAAGGTGATATTCAGAACTGGGAACTCACAGCACCTGTGTAAGGCCCTATGCAATTAAGTGGAAGGCGAGGTAAGTGTAGGTGAAACCTCAGTTATTTCACCTTGCCCTGCTGATGTTAAAGTTGTGATCACTTTGGCAGGAGTCAGATGGGCTGAAATTCACATAACTGTAAGACAACATAAACTGTTATATAGGAAGGATGTTTATAATATTTATGACAAAATTTTCTAGTATATTTATAGATCCTAGAAGCCACCACTTCTATCAACTTATACACTAAAAAAACAAATTTCTTGAAGTGTTCTTGTCATCTGCTATATTATTTGACATTAGTCTATATTATTCTATATATTATTATATAGAGAAAGTTCATGTATATTATATGTATACAATACATACATTAATGAAAAATCAAATTCCTTAGTCTTGTCATCTGCCATGTTATTCTATATGTTATTATGTAGAGTATATGTATATTGTTCTATATATATTTAACTTACACAATAACGAAAAATAAAATTTGTTGACTCTTCTACTTACCCTCTATTATTCTACATAATATTCCATATTCCCTATATTGTGTAGTCATATGTGTGTGTATATGTGTATATATATGTGAGGTATCAAGAGCCACTGAAACATTGAAACATGCTTGTGATTTTGCTGCTATGCTCACAGACTTTGTCTCATTGTCTAGTTGAGGGACAATCAAACACCATCTTCAGGACAAGGATTGGAGCAACGTACCCTATATCATTACCAAGTCTGTAGTATAGCCAAGCAGCCTTAAAAAGGATTTTACTATACTCAAAAAGGGTAATGTGCTATTTCACACACTATCACAGTGATTAGTCACATGCAAATATACAGCTTTCCATTTTTTTCTGAAAATGAATAGCTTTCTAGATTTCTCTATTTGTCTTGTCCTTACATCTCCCATATTGGCATTTGTGTTTCTGACTTCTTCTGGTCCTTCATCTGTATCCCTGGAGGAAGGTGAAGACACCCAAGACTCATTCCTCCTTCCCTTGCACACGCAGTATCTGAAAGGCTACAGCAGGAAGCTCTTCCCTTGTGTTTCTAATACCCACGCGAGATGTGCCACCTATTAGATGTTTCAGCCTCTTTCCATTAGAAAAAGAAAACAGGCACAGCTCCTTTTCATAAAAATTCTTTAATTTCCTGAGCTTACTGGGCTAAGGAATCACTGAGTTTTCACACCCTTCAAAGTACGCCACTCAGTTTCCGGAGGATGAGGAAAGTTCCTCTCCTCGCTGCCCTGTCTCTGGTCTCACCAGTTAATTAACTCGAGAACAAAGTCTGAATATCCAGGGAGCAGACTTACTGGATAAATGATACCAGGCATGTCAGAGCCACTCACCCAGAAGGGACCCACAGCAAGGCTCAACACCGAAAACTTCTGTGATGTAGTGGATATGAAGATCAACCCTATAGAACATGGGGAGATGGTTATGAAATAACTGAGAGAGTTAGAAAAAGAGAAAAGAAGGAGTAAGACAGAAGAGATGTATGTATTTGAGGGAGAAGAAGAGAGAGAGGGAGCAGTGATGGGGAGCATGTGTGAATGACACTGCCTAACAGAGAAGAAGGAAATGGTGAGGGAAGATGTTGTATGGGACATTTTCCTGGGCCAGTATCATGTGGTAGCATCAGTCCCACATAGTTTAGATAACTTTCTGGAATGAGGAGAGGGAACTTCTGGAGAAATATTGAGCAGAAGGGCTTCAGGGCAAGGAAGATATGAACATGGCTTGTGCAATAATTGTAAGCCATTTATTCAAAGCCCAGGACACAATCTTATTAAAGGTCTTATTTAATCACAGACTTTATTAAAGCACAGACTCTCCCTCCTTCACATACAGATGCCCACCCCACCCCCACCCCAAGCAAGAACCATGACATCTTAATTCCAGAAAGTTCTCTATTCCCCAACTAGTAAGCCAAAACTTTCCCCTGGATTGGTCTTGAAAGTGAACTGTCCTGTAGGGTGTCTAAAATTTGTTCAAATTTTATGATTCTCATGTGTTTATCCCCTAACTTCATAAGAAGAAAAAAAAAAGACCTAACTCAAAACTGGAATTCCTCAACTGAATTGCTAGACCATCAAACAGACCTAAAATTAATGGCAAGTGTCCACCTCACCCTTGTGAGCAAACGCTGACCCCATTGATGGAGACTGAGATTCTGTGGAGACCAGCTGGCAGCGAGGGCAACACCACCTCCAGACCCTGAGCCATTTGCACATGAACCGGAGCCAAGGTATCCTGAATGTGGACTTCCACATCCAAATCTGTGTAGTTCACCAGCAGCGCCATTCCAAGGAAAAGGGTCTCACCTCCTGTGTTGAAAAGAATCCATTAGCCTCTGAGATGTGGGTTTGTAGCCTCAAACACCTACATACTCAATTCTAAATCTGTCTTTTAGGATTAAATACATGGTCAGCCCTGTGCATAATATTCTAAGAGTTTTAATGCCAACCTGATTTTTTTAACGAAACTTCTCACAACTTTTTAAATAGAGCTACAGCCTATAACCTCGGGAGCACAAAGAGCAAAATTGTCAGGACAATTGTACTCAAGAGGCACTAACTTATCTACACGCCAAAGCAAATCAAGAAGTAGTTTGGAGGTTGCTGGTCTTCATAACTAGCAAATAGTACTCCATGCCCCCCCCTTTTTTTTTTGCTGAGGAAGATTGGCCCTGAGCTAACATCTGTGCCTATCTTCCCTTGTTTTGTATGTGGGATGCTGCCACAGCACGGCTTGATGAGCGGTGCATAGGTCCATGCCCAGGATCTGAACCTGCGAACCCCGGGCCACTGAAGCAGAGCACGTGAACTTAACCACTATGCCACTGGGCTGGCCTCTGCATGTCCTATTTTTCAACTTCCCCTTTTCTACTGATAAAAGTCTAAAGCTATACTTCAGTGTGCGCTGAACCCCATAATAATGCTGTATATGAGTACAGTACTTCACAGTTTACAGAGGACATTCGTATGTATTATCCCATTTGATACTCATACTATCCTGATGACATATATGGGGCAGTTAGTAGGACTAGCATTTAGCTTTTGAGGAAACTAAGGTTCAGCAGCCAAGGTCTCATAGCTAATTGATGGAAATGTCAAGTCCTAAGCCCAGTCTTCTCTTATATTTCAATACCTTTTTAGTTTAATTAGCAACTCTACTAAAATGCCATGTATACAATGGATACTTTAATTCAATTCCTTTTACCTCAAATATTTATCGAATCCCAAGAGGAAAATGCCACAAGGGTACAAATATAAGCTAAACACAGACCCTGTGCTCAAAGAGATCTCAAAGGTAGTAAAACCAGTGACGAAATAGCTTCAGTATAAGACCTCCCATCAGAGAGGTGAAAATTAAGCATGGGGGTTATCAAATCAGAGCAACATTCTGAATATCAAGAAAGGCCTTACGGGCAAGATGGTGATTGAAATTCAATTTGAAAGATAAATCCCAAGAGGAAGTGATAGAAAATAGAGGATTTACAATTCAATTCTCAAAACTTCACAGTTTTACCCAAAGTCTATTGTAGCACTTTCTCACTTAATCCTCCAGTGGCTTAGAGAGAAGAAAAGAGAATTGGGTGACTTTCTGGAAGACCAGACACATATACATACAGTTAGGGACTCTATGGGAATAGGCTAAATTGAAGGTGGTTCTATGGCTAAAGACCAAAAAAGGCAATCCTGAGGGGTCTCTAGTTAACTCAGTGGACAGTGGAGACTTCTAAAGGTTTCTAAGCAAGGAAAGGAGATGATTGAAGCCTTCTTCCAGTCTATAAGAGCAATTGGAGAGATGGAGGAAGGGAAATCCAGTCTGCAGACAACTAGAGTCTTAAGGAGAGCCAGAGATCAAGCATGCAATGGCAAGAGTGGAAATAAACATCCTTACCTTTCCTGTGTCTCGATGTGCCATAAAGCATCTCTAAAGCTCCTTTAGCCTCTAATGTTTGAGACCTACTACAGAGCTGGCATCTATAGAACACTACAACCAATTAGATGGGGAGAAGAGGTTACTCGAAAGAGAAAACTCAAAGAAGAGGGATTGTGCCATCTTGAGAAAACTAGATCTACACTCAGATCCTTGCTCTACCATTTAACTACTTGTGTGACTTTGGGTGACTCACTTTGGGATCTCAAACCCTCAGAGTTTTCATCAGTAAGATGGTAACAAAGCCCACCCATGTGGTTTGTTGTAGGGATTAAGTTAGATATCCTATGACAGCTTCTGGTATAGTACACCATTCAAAAGCCCTCAGTTAACTTCATTTTCTTCCTTGTTCCACATTCTCTTTACTTCTTCATGTCTTCCCAACCTCATTTCTACTGTGAAGTCTGAAGTCACAGTGTAGTGACTTAGAAGGATTTCAGGGTTGAGCAAAGAAAAAGACATGACCTTGAGACATGACAGAGCACAAAAATGAGCTTTGTACGGTGGTGCTTGACAGGTTCACAAAGGTGCAGAAATCTCACAGCGTGAGAACTTCCAGTAGCAACAAGAGGAGACCAGCACTCAGAAGTGGAGGAAGGTTAGGGACCTCCTGGGGGAGAAGGGAGGAGGGGTCACGTGACTTGACGATGGCCCTCAGCAGCCCAGCGGGTAGAATCTGGGTCACAGAGCTTTGAAGGGCATCAGTGGCTTAGTCTTCTATAGCCCCCAGGTTTATTTTATCTATGGCTAGCAGACGTTGGGTGCAGTTTTACAGGATCTGTAAATAAGGCAGACTCTAAAGGGTTAAAAATCTGCTTATCTGGCTATATTTAAAACAATTGGGTGTGTAACTATTTGAATTTGGCATTGGCGGGCTTTTGGGTCAATGGATCCCAGCCTGCTGTGAAGAAGTAAACAACACAGGGCCAGTATACAGAGGCCATCTCCGGCTCATTTACGTAACACTCAGTATCTGGCAGAATTATGACATTCACTTCAACAAAGCATTTATTGAGTGCTTACTCTATGTTAATCCCTGGGCTAGGTACTTTTACCCACTTTACCTCCAACTTTTACAATAGGCTTGAAAGAATTATTCCCACCTAACAATTGGAGAAACTAAGGATAAAGGAAGTTAAATATCTTGCTGGGATTCATTCAGACTGACTGCAAAAAACACACTAATGGTCCCGCATATCAAGTTCTTCCCTTCCTACCCCTCCCCTCCTCCTCTATTCTTTGATTTCATCTTGGCTTCATTGTCATCATCAACATCATCATCTCCTGGATGGAGGTGTATAGCACTCCCAATTTCAAAAGAGACTTTCCCAATAGGCTACGACTGTTTGTGGATTTTATAACATGTTCTTCTTTATTCTGCCTGTAGAAAGATTTAAGTGTAAGTGTAAATTCTGCAAATAATGCATCATGTTGTGTATATCAATAACATGAACTCCTTGGGCTCTTGGTCAATTGTCAAGCTAATCCTAGATGCCTTTAAGGCACTGATGCAATGTATTTATTCTTTTCATTATAGGGAGGAAATTTTATTAAAAGCCAAAATCATTGAAATCTGAATAGAACACGGAGCTCCCTCCTCCTTTTTCTACTTCGTTGGGAAGAATCTATACCACTAAGGAATTTTACACACTTTGGTCACCTGAGGCAGCAAATTCTTCTTCTGCACGATCTGAACTGAATAATATTGAGAAACTAAAGGACACTTCCTTTTATTTATGTACTCTTGAGCAATGGAAAATGAAAATAGTACCAGAAAAATCAAGTCCAGGCTTTTTCTTTGGGAAATTTGATGGTCTTTTGTAATAAACCCTTAGATATGGCTGCCATAAACGCTCTGTTATCTGGCATTCAATTAACCAGAAAGGTGTGTTTCCAAATCTATACAGTATGGTACTTTTCCAAATCTATATAATATGACATGTTAATAAGTTGTTGTAATTCCATCCTGTCATATCATCTGAATTATCAAAGGAAGATTAAATTGTTTCCTGTAGTTGGGTGCTAAAGGATTCATTCTTTTTATACATAGTATTTCTCAAGGAACAAGAATTCTTGGTTAATCAGAACACTCTATTCTCTAATCATATCAAATACCTGTTACAACAGAACTTGATGCTCAAAATGGTATTTTATAGCAAACTATAAGTGGCTAACTGCTTCGAATATGCTACCAGACTGTCTGGGTTCAAATCTCAGCTCTGTTACTTACTAAAGATAGCATTTTAGACAAGTTACTTATTCTATCTGTTCCTTAGTTTTCTTACCTGTAAACTGAGGCTAATAATCCTACAAATTAGTGGCAAGGATTAAAGTCTATAATATGTCTGTGCTATTATTGGCACATAGTAGGTGCTCCATAAATATTTATTGAATTGTTACCTTTGAATTCCCATGTCATTTTCCTGATGGAAATGGTCTCAATTTTACAGAGGGGAAAAATAGATACAAGGAGATTTATTCAATGATGGCTAAGATGATAATACTAGTCTCTTGGTTTTCAGAAAAATAACTCCCATTCAAAATATAATACTATCTTCCGTAAAATTACTAGGCCATCATTTCCCTTTATTATAGGATCAGTGGTCTAAAAATAAAAAGATGCTACAGTTTCATACATTTTACCTGCTATGTTGCTTCTGTTTCTGCTCAGAGATGTGATCACTGGATTTAAAGAAGAGTTATACGTAAATGCCATGGGAAGAACTGCAGAATGGTCCCCTCTGATCACAGTCACATTCACAATGCGTCCATCTTTTCCCTGCAAAATCAATTTTTAAAATCAAACATCTGTAAATAAGATTGACTTGAGAAAAGTTTATTCAGAATTAGTTTAAAAGGTTACTGTCAAGAAAATTATTTTTAAAGAGTGTATTTGCTACTTTCAAGTCTCTCTCTCACTCTCACATACACACACAGTGACAAGTGCTTAGAATAGGCAAGTGCAGCATCCAACAGATTAAAGAGTAAGTAAGAATGATTTGTAGTTAACATACCAATTGGTTCTGCAAATAATGGCAATTTCAAGGAAATATCTATACCTAGCTAAACTATCCATCAAGTGTGCGAATATTTTCAGATGTGTAAGTACTCGGAAAACTTCCCTCCCACACAATCTTTCTTAGAACATTTCTTAAGGCTATGTTCTCATAAAATAAACAATAGCCAAAAAAGAGAAAGACATGAATTCCAAGAAACAGTGAATCTACCCAGGAGAGCAATCAAGAGAATCTAGGATGAAACCTGTAACGTGAACCTGGAAAACACCGAGTTAGATTGAAGCAGAACAGAGATCTTCAAGGAAAAAGAGTAACTGATAGGATGGAACTTTTTTCAAGAGGGAGAATTTTTATTTTAAGGAAGATATGTTAAGAAAAAAATTAGAAACTAAGAAAAAAACAAACTATAAAAGAGAAAAATATATTACGTGATTCTGCCGGCATCATTTAAACAGTTATAATAATGTAAACGAGGTTTATTGATTTAACAAAATAATGGTACTGTAACTATATTCAAAAGAATTAAAGGTGGTTGTTTCAGAAAGGAGGACTTGGAGAAGGGGGAAGAGGAGAAGGCAGGAGAGTGTGGTTGTTTTACTACTTTCCTTTTAACCTTTGCATGTATTGCTTTGATCAAAATTAAAAGTTTGTTTTTAACACCACATGATTTCCCTCATTTGTGGAAGACAAACTAACACAGACGGAGAGAATAGTTTGGTGGTTACCAGGGGGAAGGGGGTTGGGGGGTGGGCACAAGGGTTGAAGGGATGCATTTATACGATGACTGACAAACAATAATGTACAACAAAAATTTCATGTTATAAATGCTATGACACCAACAAAAAAAAGTTTTTTTTTAATGTTTATTCTTTCTAGTAAAATGTTTAATGTTTATTCTTTCTAGTAAAAGAAATCCAAACAATAAAAATTTTACCCATTAAAATGCTAAATATATATTAAAGTGATAATACCCAGTGTTGGCCAAAGTGCCAGAAATCATACACTCACACAGTGATGGTGGGAGTATAAATCAAAAAAGAATTTCAGACAACTGGATACTACATATCAAAAGCTTTAGAATTTAGATTAATTTATCCTAAGAAAAATAAATTTGCCCAAAAATGTAGTTACTGGGATGATCAAAGCTCTATTGTTTAAAATAGGAAATTTTAGAAATTATCTTAATGTCCAATAATAGGGAAAAGTTAAACAAATTACGATACAACCATAGATTGGAATTGCATGCAGTTTATATATAAAAGCTAACACTTCATAATATTTGAGTAACTGGATAAGATAAAAATGTGGGACAAGAGATCAAAGATTATTCTGAACACTTTCTTCCTGAGATCTTTATTTGTTCAGTAAACAGCCATCTTTTGGGGTCATGGATGTGCTAGGAATGTTGATGACACTGAAGTCAACTCTGAATAAAAAGTTCAACCTCAACTGTGGGTATGACTCTCACAAACAGCACCAGGGAAGGACCTGGACTCAAATCTAATTAAAATATAAAATATAATATAATGTAAAAATTAATAGGCTATGAGATTGCACTAACTGAAGAAGAAAGGGAAAGCTAAGGGACTTGTTTTTAAGGGAAAAAGGAAGCAGTAGAGAATAACTAGGAAGATATTTCACAGGAACCAGACATTCTAGAAGTTTTGAAGAACTACCATTCACATCCACGCCAGAAAACAAAATTGGTGGTGAAAACCATTATTTTTTGTTTGCTTGAGAGACAAGTAAGATTGCAAGATATGTAAGTTTTACAAACAAATACCCAGAATGTGCACTACATAAATTTATTTATTCTGTGGCACTAGTATCCATTAAGAGTGTGGACTGGGACTGCCTGATTGTCTTCTCTTAAAAGAAATTAACTGCTATTAATTACAAGCCCCATTGGTGGAGTCAGCTTCCCATTTCATAGCAGAACAGGCAATATAAACATATAAACATAAGCATACTCTCCTGATGAAAAAGTCATGTCAGTTAATTTAGTTCTAAGAAATGATTCACTGAAAACCTTACACTACATGTTAATAATGGTCACCCACCCAGAAAGAAGAAGAGGCTGAAGGATTCCACTTACCCTGGGTGGAACTTTGCACTGAATTCCTCGTGAATTGCTTGTGGTGATGTTGATGGCACAAGACTGAGATCCAAATAACACCAGGCTAACATCGTCCAAACTAGAGCCTCGGATGGTGGCCCAGAGCCCTCCTGTAACAAAAACAGCATTTTTAGATGGGATAAAAAGCCATACAGGCAGACAAAAATTAATTACCCACAAGAGAGAGAAAATGAAATTAAAATATGAAGCTCCTTAGTCAAAACACAAGGCATGCTCAAACTGCAGAAAAAGACTGAAGTTAGATATATACACTACTATATAAAGAGAGAGAAATGGTGACTAGAGGGCATAGAGAATTCGTAACACATCCTGGAAATATTTAAGAATAAAACAAAGAAACACAATACTGCCATGAGTCAGAGAAGTAGAGTAGATGGTCTCCGGAAACTCTTCCTGCCCCAGATTTTTAAATATCGCCCCTGCCAATCCTATAAAGCTTATTCTTTTCCTCAGAAATCAAGTATAAGAGAGCATCAAGGTAGAAAAAGCAGTGGACCCAGAATGAGGGCCACAGATTACTCTGCCACTTAAAGCAAATCATTTGTAGTATTGTCCCTGAGTTCACTGGTTCTCACTTCCCTCATCTTTAAATGACAGCTTTAGCCCTTCCAGCTTTGTGATTATACCACACATACTAGGTTCTAGTCTCCAAGATGGTTCTAGTCTCCAAGATGGTGTAGCAGTGACTGAAATCACTACCCACGGCCATCAGGATTTGTCTACTGACTGCTGAAGAGCAACCACAGAAACCTCTCTCTCTTCACTGCAGACATTGTTAAGAAGAGGCATGGCACCAGTCACGCTGATGTTATGGCACGTTTTCCTATTTGGAGGAGCAGCCTTTGATCCAGCTGATGAACAGAAAGCCCACTTACTATTGATGAGGGCAATGATTCTGGTCAGCCATCTCCCCAGAAGGGAATACAAGCAATGTAGTAAGGCCACCAAATAGAGACATGAACCCCTTGAGAGTGGGAAGTGAGTGCAGGAGCGAGGTTATCTTTCTCAAGCGTGTCAGGGTGAGAAAGAGGAACTTATTCAACCTAATGAAAACTTTTCAGAAGGGTATGACTGGGTGGAATAATACCCTGAAGCTAAACATATAAACTTGTCCTGAATATTCAGGGCAAGACTACAATAGACTACATTGAAAAAAGTGGGCTAACGAGAAGAATAGATAGATCACTGAAAAAAAAAAATACAATGCCTCTTAAACACATGAAAAGATATTCAATTTCTCTCTTAAAATAAATGCAAAGTAAAACTACAATGAAATGTTATTTTGCTTCTATCAGATCGGCAAATATCAAAAAGTTTGGTAACACACTGTCTTAGTAGGATGAGGTAGATAGATACTCAAATACATTGCTACATAGAGAATAAATTATACAACCTCTAAAGAGAATATTTTGGCATTATCACAATTTTAAATGTACATAACCTCCTGACCTAGCAATTTCACTTCTAAGAAGTTATACTACTAATACTTTCAGACATATGCAAAATGGAACAACTGCATATCCAGATACAAAAGAATGAAGTTGGATCCTGTTTTGGGTTGAATTGTGTCCCCCCAAAATTCACATGTTGGAGTCTTATCTGCCAGTACCTCAGAATGTGACTTTATTTGGGAATACAGTCATTGTAGATGTAATTAGTTAAGTTAAGATAAGATGAGGTCACACTGGAGTAGGGTGGGCCCCTAATTCAATATGACTGTCATCCTTATAAAAAGAGAAAATTTGAACAGAGAAAAGACACAGAGAGAACACCATGTGAAGATGAATGCAGAGATCAGGTTGATGCTTCTACAAGCCAAGGAATGCCAAAGATTGCCAGCAAACCACCAGAAGCTAGGGGAGAGGTATGAAATAGATTCTTGTCACACATTGCTTCAAAAGGGATCCATTCTGACACCTTAATCCTTGACTTCTAGGCTCCAGAATTGTGAGACAGTAGATTTCTGTTGTTTAAGCCGTTTAGGTTGTGGTACCTGGATAAGCAGCCCTGGAAAGCTAATACAGACCCCCACCTCACACCATATGCAAAAATTAACTCAAAATAAATCAGATATCTAAATGCAAGAGCTAAAACTATAAAACTCTTAGGAAAAAATATATGCATAAATCTTAGTGACATTGGATTAGACAATTGCTTCTCAGATATGACACCTAAGCACAAGCAGCAGCAACAATAAAAAAGATAAGCTGGACTTCACCAAAACTGAAAACTTTTGTGCTTCAAAGAATACTATTAAGAAAATGAAAAGAGGGGCCAGCCCCGTGGCATAGCGGTTAAGTGCGTGCGCTCCGCTGCTGGCAGCCCGGGTTCAGATCCCAGGTGTGCACCGATGCACCGTTTGTCAGGTCATGCTGTGGGGGCATCCCACATAAAAAACGTGGAGGAAGATGGGCACAGATGTTTGCCCAGGGCCAGCCTTCCTTAGCAAAAAGAGGAGGATTGGCATGGATGTTAGCTCAGGGCAGATCTTCCTCACCAAAAACAAAAGAAAGAAAATGAAAAGACAATCCATAGAATGGGAGAAACATTTCCAAATCACATATCTGATGAGACTCTTATCCAGAATATAAAAAGAACTCTTACAACTCAACAATAAAGGGACAAATAACCCAATTTTTTAAATGGGCAAAGGATTTGAATAGGCATTTCTCCTTTGGATTTGAATAGGCATTTCTCCAAAGAAGATATACAAATGACCAACAAGCACATGAAAAGATGCTCAAAGATCATTAGTCATTAGGAAAATGCAGGTCAAAAACACAATGAGATACCGTCTCACAGCCATCAAAATGGCTACTATCAAAAAAAATAAATAAATAAAAACTGTTGGTAAGGATGTGGAAAATTTGGAACCCTCATATATTGCTGGTGGGAATGCAAAATCATGCAGCCATTTTGGAAACAGTTTGGCAGTTCCTCAAGAAGTTAAACATAGAGTTACTATATGACCCAGCAATTCCACTTCTAGGTATATACCCAAGAGAACCGAAAACATATATCCACACAAAACTTTGTGCACAGATGTTCATAGCAGTATTATTCATAACAGTCAAAAAGTGGAAACAACTCAAATGTCCATCATGAGATGAACAGATAGACAAAATGCGGTTTATCTATACAATGGAATATTATCTAGCCATAAAATTGAATGAAGTACTGATACATGCTACAGCATAGATGAACCTTGAAAACATTATGCTAAGTAGAGAAGCTAGACACAAAAGGTCACATATTATATGATTCCATTCACATGAAATGTCCAGAATAGACAAATTCATTGAGACAGAAAATAGATTTGTGCTTTCCAGGGACTGGGGGAAGGGAGAAATAGGGAGTGACCACTAATGGATAGAGGGTTTCTTTTGGGGGTGATAAAAATGTTCTGGAATTAGATAGTGGTGAGGTTGCATAACTTTGTGAATATACTGAAAACCACTGAACTGTACACTTTTAAAAAGTGAATTTTATGGTAAGGAAATTATATATCATTTTTTTTTTAAGTTAAAAAGAAAGAAAGACCTGGGGCAAAAAAAAATTTCCCCTAGGGCAGCTCTATATATTTATAAGATATATATACCCTGGTCCAGCCCAACGCTCTCTCTCCCCTGGGTGACTGCAGTAGCTGCCTAACTGGTCTCCCTGCTTCCATCTTTGCCTCCCTGCAGTATACCCTCACACAGAAGTCAGATCATGTCGCTTTTTCACTTAAAATCTTCCAATGCCCCCCATCTCACTCAGAATAAAAGTCAATGTCCTTTCATAGTCTCTAAAGCCGTATAATCTGCTCCCAATCTTCTCATACCACTCTCCCCTCGCTCAATCTATTCCAGCCACAGTGACCTCCTTGGTGTTCTTGGAATAAGCTGAGCTCATTCTGACCTAAGAATTTATCATTTGATGTTTCCTCTGCCTAGAGGTCTCTTCTCCAAGATTTCCCCAGGACTTATCCCTTCACTTCATCCATGTCTCCATTCTCCAATGCCATCATGTCATTTCTCCAACATCAATGACCATCCCATCAGAACCATCACTCCCTCCATCACTCTCCCCTTGCTTAATTTTTCTCTTACACACTTAATCATCACCTCCATGAGAGCAGGGACTTTGTTTTAATTTACTTATCCCCAGCATTAATAGTGCCAGGTACATAATAAGAGCTAAATAAATTGCTGTTATAATTATTATTGTTAATGATTAAAAGTTGCAGAGGTGGTGACACTGTGCCATTCCCATTTGAAAGTTGAGGTGCCTCACAAGAGTCTATACCTAACGAGAAGGCAACTCTATCTCAGCACAGAAATGGGCCAAGGAAGTACATTAGGCAAAGTCAAGATTTTCCTCAAAAACCCTTTCGAGCGTGCTTCTGTGTATGGGCAAGCGGTGATTTAGAATATTATTGATCACATTGTTATATGTATTAGTCACATATAAGCTATTCTGTAAATTCTTTGCCAGTAGGCCTTGGCCTGGTTCTCTTTAAATCCCCAACAGCAGCATTTCTCAAACTGTACTATTCGTAGAAATTGCCTGATAACTCTGTTAAAATGCAGATTGATTCAGGAGATCTGGGATGGCACCTGAGACTCTGCATTTCTAACAAACTCCCAGATGATGCAGATACTGCTGATCTCGAACCACACTCTGAGTACCAAGATCTTCAGCATCTGGCACAGGGCTTTATGCAGGGCGGCTCAATCAGTGTTGATTGATTGATTGATTGATTAATTGATTAATTGACACTGGTTGATATTGGGTAGGTGGCAGGGCAGAGGAAGGGTTAATAGGGAAGCTTTAAATCCAGTAATAAGGAAAGTAGCAGCTAGAGCATCTCCCTCTCTCTCTCTCCTTTTCCCCTTGGTCTTACTAAAAGTACATTTGCACCCACCTGACATTACCCCTTCTCTAAGTTTTCTATCTTTTACTAAAATATAGAAGGATGATGTACAATCCTCCCAGACAAATCCCTTCACTACGTATTGTTGGTACAGCACGCCATGATAGAGTGACCAACTTATCCTGGTTTGCCTGAGAGTTTTCAAGCTTTAGCACTAAGAGTTCCGCATCCCAATTTAAAATGGAAAGTCTTGAGTCCTGAGAAACTGCTCAGTCCCAGGGAAACTGGGACAGTTGGCCACCCTGCCTGTGCAAGGCGCTCTGTATGGGGAAACAAAGATCACTGAGTCGCGTGTCTCCCCTTGAGGTGTCTGCAGTCTAGTGGGGGAGCTAAAGAAGGTTTGCGCAGCCTGAACCGCACAGGTAACTTATAAGAAGATCAAAGCCCCTTACAAACCTCATGAGAAGACTACTATAGGCCCTAAACTCAAATCAATAATTATTGGGTTGATACAGAATACGATCTTTCATCCTGAGCACCTCATATCATCTGGCCCCTTCCTGGAATCACTGAGAATAAGAGCAAGCTTGCTCTGGTTTTTGTGTAGAGATGAGGTAGTGTGGGCCTTGTAACTCACTCTTCTAGGCAAAGTCAAGTCAGAAATGAGCTGTTCCTTTGAATGATGAGTCTATGCCCAGGAAACGCCACTTCAAAAAATGTTCTTAGCAAGCGTCACTTTGGGCTGGCCCAGTAGTGTAGTGGTTAAGTTGGCGTGCTCCGCTTCGGCAGCCCTGGGTTTGAAGGTTTGGATCCCAGGTGCGGACCTACGTACTGCTTATCAAGCCATGCTGTGGTGGCATCCCATATACAAAGTAGAGGAAGACGGGCACAGATGTTAGCCTAGGGCCAATCTTTCTCAGCAAAAAGAGGAGGATTGGCAAAAGATGTTAGCTCAGGGCTCATCTTCCTCACCAAAAAAGAAATAAAACTGTTCTAAGCCACAGTTCTTTGGCCAACAGAATAAACAAAGACAAAATTGAAGGCATTAAGGAAAGGAGTTTTATGCTCTAAAAATCATACGTTAACCCATGGAAGTGTTCCTGAGATTCGTGCAATTTTGACTGGCTGTGTCCCTCAGAAAGCATGGAGAGATCCTTGGTTTCCATGGCACTAAGATCCAATGCATGGGGCTGATGTCAACAAGCCCCCCTACCCTCTGTACATCCCTCAAATGGTAGTTGGCTCTGCATCCTCGCCAAGTATCCAAGTGTACATCAGTTTACTAACATCTGTGAAACACCTGCCACATGCAAAGCTCCCAGTGGGTAAGCCCTGTGCTTCACATTTGCAAATGTTTTTACTTTTCAAGGGCCTTTCCCACCTGTTGGCTCATTTTAATCTCACACAAAGCTAGAGGCCTGTAAGTTAAGCATAATTAGGCCCATTGTGTAGCTCAGATTGCATGGCACGGTAGAAGCAGCAGCAGCCTTGGCATCCGGCAATCCCAGTTTACATCCTAGCTCCACCTCTTTCCATCAGAAAGCCTTGGGCAAGTCATTCTTCCCTTAGAACCACCATTATCTCATCTGAAAAATATGGATAATAATTCCATCTTCAGGCAGCTGTAAGCATTCAGGTGTGCGACTATCTAGGAGAGGTACTCAATAAATGATACTGTGCCTATCTTCATCATTATTAGGAAACTAAGTTCCATAGAACTGAAACTTCTAAGGTCACACATCTGGCTTTGGTCGGAAGAAAACCCAGGCACATGTCCTAACTCCCAATCTAGTGTTGTTTCCACTAGACCGCATGGTCCTGGTGACTCAGTGACTGACCCAATTATGCCTGACACCATCAGCCAAACAGTGATCCTTTTTGTGGGAAGTGAGTTCATTTAAGGGCTCAAATGTCTGTTACTCATTAGAAGAAGTGCTGATGGCAGAAAACAAAGAGCTGTGAATGATAGTGGATACAGAAGTTATTACACGGCAGGACTAGATCCCTCTGTATCACTGAGAATGCTAGCTTCAGCAGGTCAGATGCAATGTGGGGTCCTCCCCAGATTACCAATCTCTGCAGCTCTGGAAGGCTCCACAGCATCCAATCTGGGTTCCACATTTAGGAAGAGGCCTCCTCCACTGGCATTGATGGCGCGACCAGAGGGTCTCACCAACATCGAGATCAGATGCGCTCCAACAGGTAGCAGGTCTGCCTGACAGACCACATTCGTTTGGTTTGAGAAAATAACTTTGCAACTTGTTTTGTTCACTGTAACCTGCAAGGCCTGGGAGTCATCAGAGAAACTAGTTCCAGTAATATAAACCAGCAGGTCCATGTCATCATCTTCATGGAGAAAAGAAAAGAACAAAATCATTTCTCAGTGATATCACTTCACTTAAGAGAATTCTCTCTAACATCAAATGTTCATTCCCTCTCACCTTCCCCTCCCTAAATTCAGGGTGTTGAGTGCTGACTCCAATATTGGACATCTGCATTTATTATTGTAGCACACAGCCCCCATCTTAAATTTTCTCAAACTAGTAATGAGAGACCACTAGTCAATAAAAAATAGGGAAAACATCAAAATAAAGAATATTTCAAAACAAGGGACAAAGAGAATAAAACATTTTAAGTCATCAAAATCCACGTGTCTCCATTTCAAATCATACCCATATCATTCACATTGGCCAAAAAATGTTCTTTCTGCTGCAGCACTAAACACTTACCCCATGAACTGACACACCTTCTACCCACCCATCACCAGGTACATGGCCTCTAACAAATCACTCTGAGTCTAAAGTTTCTGACCATTTCAATGCCAAGTCACAAATCATACCAAGAGAATACCATACAGAATGGACCCGGGGAGTCGACTTTTCAAGGTATTGGAAAGAACAGGAACCTGAGCAGTGAGCAGGTATGTCATTCACTTGCACAACCACCTGAAAAAATGCAAAAGAATTAAAAGCAAATGTATGTATTTCATATGCTCAAGAGTATTCATAAAGTACTCGTGAAGTCTGCCCAAATTTAAATGTGTTAATGATTCACTTATTCTCTTTTTCTTTCTTCTATTTCCTAGTAATAAACCCTAAATTGTAATGAATGACTCAAAACATGTTAGGCTTTATTAAAATGATGATAGGTATGTTGAAACCTAACATTTCTGCAATTAAGTTTGCTAAATCTAGAGTAAATTCCCTCTCTGTCATATAGAAGTAAATTTAATAAATTCAAACTGCACTAGGACTTTTTATCACTCTATATTTTCAACTGGGTACCTACTTCCTGTGAAAAGCCCTTTCTTTGCTGGTAAACGCCAACAAAGTAGGCACCTTCCTTCCGCCATCACTACATGGATATACAATCGACGATTAGGGCATATTTGGACATTTGGTTTGGGGTCTTTTTTGTCCTAGAACAGTAGGTCCCCAAGAAGAGACTATATGTCTTTCCATCTCCCTGGGACTAGTGTTAATCTAATAGAACTCTACAATAGTTGGACATGAGGAAGGTGAAAAAGATATGACTCATTTTATTCTCTACGTATAAAACATGGATTAAAAGCACACTTTATGATAGTGTTTGCTTATGGAGTGAAGGGTATTGGGATGGCATGAAGGCATATGTGATAAAGAACACTTTGATTTTATCCATAATGTTTTATTTTATTCATAAAGGGAAAAAAGATAAAATAAATACATCAAAATGTTGGAAATTGTTAAACCTTGGTTTGAGTAGCCAGGTGTTGGTTATATTATTCTTTATAGTTTTATTATTTTAAAATTTTCTCAAATTAAAAGCAGATGACTCGTAACAGGAGTATGGGCAGATGGGAATGAGAAAAAGACATTTTAAAGAGAAAAGGAGAGGACTTAGCTTATTTACTTTCCAATGCCACTGTGTGGAGGTATAAGTCATATGTAGCTATAGAGGATCCTATTTTTTGTTCCACAATAATAGCATCAATAAGTATAATAATGGAATGTTGTGTTTACAAAGCACATATATTTTTCTGAGTACTTTCCATACCCTGTGGAAGCAGAAAGAGGACAGCCATAACTGTCTCCGTTTTATGGATTAGAAAACTGATCCTTGGGATTGGTCCACATTACAAATCAGGGAGGGGCTGAGATAGACTTGAAACTAGCACTTGCACTTTGGGTGGCCCATCAACTCTCACCTGAGTGCACTGGTTGGCAGTAACCAACATGTCTCCAAATATGGGTCCAAGAAAAACTCCACCATCATACACCACCCGAGTGGTTGCAGCAGGGTTCACTCCAGTTAGATTGTCATCAGAGACCTGAGATGGTTACATTTCTGGTGAATTCTGTCATGGAATAGAAGTCTAATCTTGATTAAAACAAATGATAAAGGGTCTTCTCACATTCTGTTTAAGATAATCAGATAGCTAGAAAGTGAAAATAGAATGACAGGAGATTGATATCTAGAAACTTAACAGTAAGTAATGGCTAATGAAAGCTCCAGTCAACTACAGAAATATTTATTTGCAAGTAGAGTTGCCAAAAAAGGCCCAAAAAAACAATCTTCTCTCTAAGTCTTGAGATATTTTGTTTCTATATGCTTTTCTGTTTTATATGTTTGCAATCCAAAATATTGAAATAAAATGTAAGGAAACAGTGCTATGAGATGACTCTCATCCTTCTTCCATCTCCACCTAAGTATTTTGTTTGAAAACCAGATGACCCACAATACCATAAAACAAGGATAAAATTTTATCCTGGGTTTCATTTTATAATAACCAAATGCTAGATGATTTTTAGATTATTTTTTAAAACCCTAAATATGCAAGAGCATCTGGTTTTGTCATTATCCAAAGACAGCAAATCCTTTTCTAAACTTCCTTCTGCTGTGCCATCTGCCTGCATGATAATCTAAGTCAATCACATCTGTTTAAATTATCCAATAACAGATGTAGAATTATTGAATGGTGGACACTGACCAATGACTTCTCTACCTACACTGAGTTAGGAAAGGGGAGGTTGGGTTTAAATTGCTTTCCCAGGGATATGAGATACAAAATACATCTTGAAAACTTCTAGAAAGAAAGATAATTGAACCCCTTTACTTGAACATTCCAACAAAACTAATAATTCATGACAGTTTTCATTCATATAATCCTGATTATTTTTTTTTACAAAATTGCTCCAGGGCACCAAATCTACACCACCAAAAGGGACATCATACATACCCTGATGAAATTGGGCAAATCCCCAATCTGAGTGGACCAGGAGAGAGTCCACACATGTTCATAGCAAGACTTTAGATCCTCCATCACAGCGAAGTCACTGACATTGAGGTACCTGGCTGTGAAGTCGTCAGCATTGTTCTGCAAGAGCTTGCGAAGGTGACTAGCTGAAATATGCACAGGGACACCTGTGGGAGAAAGTTTTCATACAGAAAATACAAGATGCTAACTACTCCACCTCACAGTGTCTCATCATCAAGATAGCAGAGAATAAATGTCAGGATACCTACTAAATATGCAGGAGACACTCGAGTTCAAAATATAGCTTCAAGAGAACCCCCGCCCAGTTAAACCATTTTTTCCTAAGGCCAATACAAGTAGATACCCATGTTTTATATTGCGATACCTTTAATCAGTATCACATCTCAGAGCAAGCAGAGAGCACAGTCATATCAGACAAAACTATCTCAACTGTCAACTCAAAATGTAAACTCCAGGCACCCCAGTAACGCCTGAAAGCCTAATTAAATATTAGACTGGAAAAACTCAGCTGGCCCTGTGAACAAAGAAAAGTTGGTCACCTTTCACAGGGAGTAGGGGAGGTATACAGCAGCTGACATCCATAAAAACTTCTCCAACCCAGCTGAGGAATGCTGGAGTGTAACTTCGGTTTCTCTATTAGAATTTCGTTTAAGCCCAACCACCTGCTTCCCCATTCCACACTCCCGCAGAGAAATAACAGCACTCTGTGTTTAAGCCTTGCTTGTGTTTGAACCCTGTCTCACGCTTGACCAAAAGTTTCCATTTCATTAGCTACTCCCAACAGCCCTGAGAGGTGGGTCACTTGGGGATCTTAATGCCTCCTTTAGAAATGAAGAAAAGGAAGCCTGATGAGATTCGGAAGCTTGCCAATCAAATGAGATAGGTTTAGATTAAAACTCAGGTTGCCTTCTACCTACTCAAGAGCTTTTCTCTTGAATCCTACACTGTCCTGGAGTGTTAATAAAATACCACTGTATTTCTAAAGGCAAACAAAACTCTCATCAGTTTAAAAAAGACTGTCCCACATGAATATATAATTTGAGAGCCACTGTCATTTCAAAAGGCCAGGTTAAGGCTGGCCTTGCCCCAGCTGTTTCGCAGGCAGTGATGTGAGGAGCATCAGCAATAGAATGTGGTGGCAGGAAAAGTCTCTCTACAGACAGGCTGCAGCTCTCTCATTCATGAGAGGGGAAACAGCACAGCGATGGACTTCAGAGAGGCAGGGCACTGTTGGCCTTTATTCACCCACTGATCAGACTCCAATAGCCCAGGGGCCAGCAACTTTTCCCAAGTTGCCCTATTAGAGTAAAAACACCACTCCATTCCTCCCACCCAAGAAGATTCTTTGCAAGCCTGGCATCTTTCTGCTTGGGAGGACAGAAGACTTTTGGACCAAGTACCAACTTTTATACTGCCACTGTTGAGGTCTCCTGAGCCTCCTTTCTGATTCCCCTATGTTTTCAGCAAATAAATAACATATAATCACTTCTAATCCTTGTCTTTTGTGAAATGTGTCTGTTCTTGAAGATTTAGAAGCTGTTCTACTCTCATGGCATCTGAAAGCTCTTCCTACATTTGTTATGACCACTAAAATCCTCAATAGCACATGCTGTCACCGTGGAGTTTAATTCAGAAGGGCCATGGCTACCATGGTTCTTGGCCTAGGAAACTTTAGAGAGAAGAGGAATGACCTGAGAATCAAAGACCCGAGTTCACATCCGGACCCTCCAATCGACTATTTGTATGACCTTTGGGCAAACCTCAGTATAGTGGGCTGAATGGCGGCCGTCAAAAAGATATGCCTATTTCCTACTCCCTGGAAACTATGACTGTTGCCCTATAAGCAAAAGGGTGAATATTACCTTATAAAGCAAAAGATGTGGTTACGTTAAGGATCTCGAGAAGAGGAGTTCAGCCTGGATTATCCAGGTGGGCCCTAAGCGCAATCATATGTATCCTTATGAGAGAGAGGCAGAGGGAGTCTTGAGACAGCAGACAGAGAGGCAATGTGACCATGGAGGCACAGGTGGAAAGATGTAGCCACAGCCAAGGAATGCTGGCAGCCCCCAGAAACTGGAAGAAGTGGGAACCGGGTTCTCCTCTAGAGCCTTTGGAGGGAGTGCAGCCCTGCTGACAACTGGATTTTGGACTTCTGGCCTCCAGAATGGGGAGAGAATAAATTTCTGTTGTTTTAAGCCACCAAGTTTGTGGTAATCTGTTAGGACAGCCCCAGGAAGCTAATGCACTCAGTTTCCACAACTATAAAACTAAAACGTTGGGATCATACCAACAAGGGTATGTTATTGTTATTGTCCAGATCTTTAATTTCGAGAAGTCATTTTCAGACACTGGAAAATAAACAAAATAGCTTTAAGACTGTCACCCTGCCTGACAATCTCGCAGGATGCTGTCTGCCTGGGGAAGCTCCTGAAAATGTAAGTGAGAAATGTTGCACCCCCAAGTGCCCCTTTACCAGGAATCACTATGTTAGAAAGTTGGATGCGAAAGTGTCCTCCTAAAGGCGGACTTGTCCTCTGTAGTCTCTGTGTTGTCACCTGGACCAGCCCGGATCCTTCTTCTGCTCCTTCAGTGGGCACAGAGCTGTGGTATGTCAAAAACAAAGCATTAACTGCAGAAACCATCCAGAGGAGCCACTCCAGGCAGAACATAACTCCGTCTCAAAGACCAGGTAGTCTCCCATGTTTGCAGACATTGAGCTCAAGCTCCCAGAGCTGCCCCTCTCCCATCACAGCAGGAAACGTGTAGGGTAAATGTTAGCCTTTAAGAGTGTTCCAGCCTTCCCCTTCACTGATCCTGGGAGCATAGGGACCCAGGTGAAGAGTGATGACTCTGGCCTCCGCTGCTCTGGTCCCGAAGCACAGAGTGAAAGGAGAACTTGGTATTCTCTAACTCCATTTGTAAAGCTCAAATGAGAAGTCAGTGCCCTGTTCCACAGGTACTTACCCACCCAGTATCCCCAGCTGACACAAGGGCCACTCCATCTAGCCAAGCTCTTGTCTAGCGACTGTGTGCAAACACACTGCCTGCCCAATCTTGCTTTTAATACCAAAAAATGGGTCAAATAAATCGTGACACACCATGAGATGGAACACTGTTCAGCCATTAAAAACCATATTTTAAAAGAATGTTTAATGATATGTGAAAAAATTCAATTTATACCATCAGGTGAAAAGGGCATGTTGCGAATATATATGTAATTTATGGTCCCAATTTGAGGTTTAAAAAGTAGTTATGTACATGTATATATGTATACAAAAAGGCAGTTAGAATATGAATCCAATGTTATAGAAGTTATCTCTGAGCAGAGGGATTATGAGGGATTTTTATCCTCTTCTAAGTGTTTTTCTGTATTTTCCGAATTTTCAACAATGAACATATATGATCTCTACAAATAACACTATTTTAGTACTACATGTTGATGTGCATACATACAACCCTATGGAAACAGAGCGATACTACGTGTGTTGGGGAGGAATCTAGGAGCGGCTAGTCTGGAGGGCATCTTGTCCTGCTTAGGTGGGAGGCTTCCAGAAGGAGCTAAGGGACTTGATGAAAACTCAGAAAGGAAGGCTGTGAGGACCACTCTAAGTGCGGACGTGTTCAGAGTAACCTAAATTAGCCTCTATCATTTCAGAGTTCCTAATTTGGCATTTGGAGCACAACCGCAGGCTGGCTGACACAGCGGCTCCATCTCCACCACTGAAGCTCTTTCATTCCTTCATACTTTTGATGGCTTTCGCGTATCTTTGCTGCCCAGAGGACCATGGGACACTAAGTCAAGGAAAGCGGAGCACAGATTCAAGCTTTCTGCGCCTGCCTTCAATACACCGTCCCAAGCGTGGTATTAACTATGAGAACTCATTTTGGAACGTGTTAGAAAGAGAGAGAATTAAAGAAAAGGAAATTTTAAAGGCAGAGCGTTTCAATCCTTCCCATTCTACTGGGGTTTTAGTAAAAAATTTAAAGAATGAATTAGAGCATAAAAGTGTTCCAGGAGCTTGGAGGAGCCCGATCCTTAGTTACTGCTTTGTAAACTGTGTCTGGGAAGGTTTGACTAGTAAGACGAAACGCTTACGGGACTCTAGTGCCATCTGGTGGAGAGATCTTAGAAATAGCTGTTTTTGTTCCTTGTTTCATTTCACCTCCAAGGATTCCAATAAGATTAATATACCAGAAATAGAATGAGCCGAGCAAACAGAAAACAGTGGTAATGTGAAGCTCTGAAAAGCATAAAAAGACAACTATTTTTAAACAAATTCACTAGAAACTAGTTCTCAAAGTATAGTCAGACCAACAGAATCAGCATTGCCTGGGAACTCATCATAAATGCAAATTCTGGGGCCTGCCCGTGGCTTAGCGGTTAAGTGCACGCGCTCCGCTACTGGCGTCCCGGGTTCGGATCCCGGGCATGCACCGAGCACCGCTTCTCCAGCCATGCTGAGGCCGCGTCCCACATACAGCAACTAGAAGGATGTGCAACTATGACATACAACTATCTACTGGGGCTTTGGGGAGAAAAAGGGAAAAAAAGGAGGAGGATTGGCAATAGATGTTAGCTCAGAGCCGGTCTTCCTCAGCAAAAAGAGGGGGATTAGCATGGATGTTAGCTCAGGGCTGATCTTCCTCAAAAAAAAATTAAAAAATAAAAAAATAAATAAACGCAAATTCTCAGGCCATGCCCCAAACCTACTGAATTAGAGCCTGTGAGGTTAGGGCCCAGCAATTTGTGTTTAACAAGACCTCCAGGTGAGTCTGATGCTGCATTCTTAAGATTGAGAATCCTTGTTTTAAGCAACAAGACAGGTAGCTTTTCCTGATAAAAGTCCCACCTTTGTGTTTTCCAAGGCCAACTAGCAATTCTTAGGAGGGACAGGTGAGCAAAATGGCTCCCTACCTTGCGGTGATGAGCGGGAGCTCCAGGCCACACCCCGCCAACCACGACGTGACATTGTAGACTGGAGGGGATCCCACCACAGAGAGTGATTCCACCAGATTCCCACCAGGGCGAGCTGTTCCAGAATCAGCTTGAGAAACTAGAAACCAATGATCCAATTATTATCAAGTAAATCAAGATGGAAGACTGGCTGTGTGGAAAGTCCCAATGGAGATGCTGAGTTACTTAGATCTCAGTACACACTTAAAGCAGAGATGCCTACCTATCTGCCATGAAGAGCAAAGGGAGAGGAGGCAGGAGTTTAGTATCAAAAGGAAAATGCAAGGTCATGGTGTAAGGAGATGAAGGCAATTCCACAGCAAAGTTCATTAAGCTCCAAGCCAGTCAAACATCACTCCCTACACCATTGTAGCACGCCCCTCCCCCCCACCCCAATAATCTGTTGTAGTGTGAACTGCCACCCTTTCCTCCTTTCCTTCCCAAGGTCCCTGACAACTGATCCTCCACTGAACACTCGAGGCACATACTGGGGGTACTTGAGTGTTTATCCACAACGTGGAGTCAGCATGTACGCAGGAAAAGTGCAAGCTTTAAAACAGACCTCTGCTCAAATCCTGATTTTCCACTTCTATTGGGTTACATTGGCTAATCAACATAACCTCTCTAAGACTCTGTTTTCTCATTTGTAAAGTGGAGATCATGACAGATACCAATCTGCTTGGCAGGGAGAGTTTAGTGAGATGGCAGATTTAAATGACCAGCACAAGACATTTCAATATCCTTTTCCCCTCCTACTAGGCACTGTGTAAAGGATAGCTTCTTCCCCAAGATTGTACAATCGAGACAGTGAACAGTCTAAAGACAGAGTCTTTGCATGCCCAATGATTTGCACAACACCAGGCACAGAGTAGATGTTCAATAGATGTTTATTTAATCAGCTGGCTAGAGAGTCATTGAAGGTTTGGCTCTGGGGTCAACAATCTCTGGGTTCCCATCTCCCCCACACTCCAGCTGATTTGGGGCAAGATGCTCAGCCCCTCTTAGCTTTGGCTTCCTCATCTATTGAGTGGGGATAACAGGACCGTCTCATGGGTTCTGAGAACTAAACGAGAAATAAATGGTAGCTCCCACTAGATAAAAAGAACTTTCAGAGGACATTAGGTGGGAGAATATAATCAAGTGCTAAATTGATCAGATAAATGTCAGACATTATGAATATTGAGCCCAATAGTGTAGCGTTTATGTTGCCATTAAAGGATCCTCAAAGGAAAATTGTTGCCAGCAGGGTAACTAGACAAAGTGGGAAACAGATGATTTTACCCAAGCCACCTCCAGTCTTCCTTTTTGTCTCTGACCTCTCCCTCCCACTTCCCTCCTCACCTCACTGCTAGATGGTTCCAGATCCTACAGCATTTGGTGGCAGAGGTGGCGGCAGTGAGAAAGGGCTCTGGATCCCGGGCTGTGAGGATTTGGAGAGGAGAAAGGGAAACAGCACCTACTATCTAGTCCTGAGTGCCCCAATCAGTGGGTTCAGTGTATGAAATATTGATCCCCTCAGCCCTCCGGGAATCTGGGCAGCACTTGGGGTTCACCAAAGGCCCCACTAGTTGTCTTAGGCACCAAGAAATTCAGACAGTCACCCCAGCACACCGTTTGAATATTATTTTCTAAGTGTGCCGAAATACAAACAGAGCTTGAAATAAGCAATGACCCATTCTGATCCAGATGCCCCCAAAACATTTAAACCACTGAAACAGACAAGAGATAGAATTTTGATGAGGATCAAAGATGAGGTAATTTCAGGGCTGAAAGGGAGTCCTCTTGCCACCCACCACTAAGCCCCCCTGCCCTCAGTTCTGTAATTTTCAGGCAAAAGATTAAAAGGTTGCACATTTGGAAATCAAACCCTTTTCTCCTTGGAGAGAGAAAGAAAGAGAAGCTATGAAAAGCAGGAAAGCTGAGCCCCAAAGTCATAAAGGATTTGATGGAAAGGAGAAAGTGAACAGAAGTTGGAAGTCTGGCGGCCCCGGTAGCAAAGTGCCCCATTCTGTCCTGGTCATGGGCTTCTCTTCCCCTGGGTGAGCATCATACGTGGCCAGCCTCAGGAGGACCCTGATGAGTACTTTGTCCCTAGATTTTTGGACAAGCAAAGCCAGGTGAGATCACTGTGCCCAAGAGAGGTCAAGGGAGAAAGGGGCCAGGCCTGAGCTCTGAGTGATGACGTAGAGGAGTCTGGATGGACAGAAAGAAGATGAGCCTATTCTCCGGAGGATGTGGCTACCCTCTAACTCGCACTGAGTCTGTCCTAAGGGTCTTAAGTCAGACCTTTAGCCCACTTACAGGGCCAGATATTGCTGTATTCCTTCTAGTACTTTCTATGACAGATATTAACTGATGGAGAGGTGTAGAAATCCTGCTGGCCTAATAATAATAATGATAATAGTAATAATAATTGCTTATATTTATTGAGCATTTACTATGGTCAGGACCTATGGTGATCGCTTCAGTTAATTCATTATACTTCAGTTCGTCTTCACAGTAATCCATTGAGATAGGGCCCTCCTTATGCCCATTTCATGGATGAGAAAACCAAGGCTTCTCAGCAAGAAAGTGGTAAATTGGCATAAGAGCACAGGCACCAGAAGCAAGGGCAAGCATCAAGGTAAACAGGAAAAGAGGTGGTCTAACAAGGGAAACACAGGGGCCAAGGGTACACCATCCCAACTCCGTCTTCTTTCTAGGACCCAGACAGGCAAGATGGAGAACCACCTGTTCCCTCTTCATTAAAAGAAAAGCAGCCCCTAGCAGAAAAGTTTGAGGTTGCCGTTTGATGGACAGGCCCATGGAGGAGAGTGGATTCGATGATCACCTGTTAGGTTTGTGTCTGCAATAATAATTTCATCCACATAGAACACGCCCAGCTCCTGAGACAGCAGGAGGAGGTCAATCCGACGAACCCGCGCTGGGGAGCTTGCCAGAGGCGGCTGCAGATCCACGGAGCAATGCACACAAGTGTTCCAGAGGTCAGTGCAAGTGAATCGCCAGCTGCAAAACAGGCGCAGAGAGGAAATGGGCCTCTCCGTGTGCTCCTGCAGGCCTCTCCCATTAGCGCTCCAGTTCTCGAGCCTGAGGGCCTGAGGACTGTGCAGGCAGGAGAGAGACCCCAAGAACCCCTGCATCCAGACAGTCCTGTGTGCCACAGGTACAAACGTCCATCCAAGACAGGCTCAGCTCGGCTTGTGATGTCACACCAGTGAGTCACATTTTAAGTCCATCATTCATTCATGACACTCCATGTCAGTAGTATTTTCAAATTACAATGTAATTGTGTGTCTTAAGCAGATCATATGTTAGGCTCTAACCACGGAGATTAGTACTCCTGGGCATTACCGAACTTGTTTAGGTTTAAAACCACTTAGAAAACTAGTAAGAGAGATGTGGAAAGAGCACTGAATCAAGGGATCAAGACGCCTGAATTTTATTCCAGTCTTCGTTCACTCGCTAAATGTATTTTGGTTAATCACAAATTCTCGGCGCTAATTTCTCTCATCTGTAATGTCAAGGAATGCTCTCTAAAATCTCTTCCCAATATGATGCTCCACGATCCTATCTCTATGAGAAATGTCAGACTCCTTCTAGGAAGTATTATATTCCTAACAACTACCTGCTCTTAAATCAAACTTCTTTGTCAAACAAAACGTGTTCACACCCCCAAGTTAGTATCCGAGGCCCAAATATAATAAAGAGTTAGTACCTTAGGTGGGCTACTGTCCTCAGGAGAGTTAACCATCCCAGCCGGCTGAAGTCCCCCCACACCTCCCTGCAGGGTAGCTACCTGTGGGGACTGGTCCCCTCGAGACTCCAGTTGCAGGTGATGTTCTTCTTAACGATGTTTTGAAAGTCGACTGTGAAGGACACGGTCACCATCAGGATCTTATTCACGGGGCCTTTGTAGGCCATGCACAACTATGGACACCAGATAAGTGCTTCAGCTCTATTGGTGCAAGAAGCGGCCTTTCAAGCAACATGTATGAGGAGAGTCCACCCCCCGAAGCCCTGCGTCAGGCTGTGAGAGAGAGAGCCAGCCCAGTTCCCACCCCCTAGAGCTCACCAGCCTAGCTGGAGAGACAAAGAGTTTAGAGTAAATTGTGATTTCTCTAACAGAGAGTTATTAAATGCCTAGCATTGTGCTTGGCAGTGAGGATTTTAGAGTATCTCAATCAGAAAACCCTTGTTCTGACCCCCTTACCTGTGCAACCTTGAGCAAGTCACTTAACCTCTCTGAGCCTCAGTCTTTTAATTCTTAACTCCCCAGCATCCTTGGTCTCTAAATTGTTTGGCACAAGTAGACTTGAGAGCAGGATTTTTCAACTTTGGCTCTACTGACATTTTGGACTAGATAATTCTTTTCTTTGAAGGGCTATCCTGTGCATCGTAGCATGTTTAGCAACATCCCTGGAACCTACTCACTGGATGCCAGTAGCACTTCTCCAGTTGTGACAAGCAAAAATGTTTCCATACTTTACCAACTCTCCCCTAACAGGAAAATCACCCCCGTTGGGAGTCTCTGCTGCAGAAGAAAGGCTGGAAGATGGGCGGTGCCCCCACCTGAACCGTTTAGTCCCGCTCCCACTGCTGTTCAACTAAGAAAGGAACCGAAACCACTGCCATGAGGTCAGCCATCTGAGTGAGGCTCACCTTGGTTCCCAAAGGGCAAATGAGCTGCATTCTTTTATGAAGGATGGCAGAGCTATTGATGCAAAGGATATAAGAGGTATCCAAGAGATGTCTCAGTCAATCCATCAATAATAACAGCAGCTATAACAAATAACAATCACTAGCCTTAACTGAGTCCTAACCACTGCACAAGCACTTTACTAGATTATCTCATGTAATCTTCACCAATATCCTGAGAGGTAGACCACATTATTACCCATTTTACAGGTGAGGAAACTAAAGACACTGAGGGCATGCAGGATGTACAGTCAGAATTCAAAACCAGATAGTCTGCTCTCCCACCTAGAGAGCAAAGAAAATATTGGAGCATATGAAAACTTCCACAGGTCTCACAGCTAATACAAAGGCATTTCCAGGTAACAACTAGCTAACGGAGGACTGGAGGTGTCTGTTCACACCGGAAACAGCAGTTAAGAAACCTAGAACCTCAGCCAGAAAAGCCTTGGGCAAATCATAGCAGTCACTCCTTTCGCTCCTATTTCTTCAGTCTCAACCCCAGAGAATAACCCGTCCCCACCCGCCTTGCCTGGACGCATGAGGCCTGCTACTTACATGTGTGTGCTGATCTAGCCGGTAGCCCTTCTGGGCAGCCGGGGGTGTGAGGACAAGGTGTCGAGGCTGACAGAGGCTGAACCTCCCACAGAAGGGCTCTGTCCCACTAGTGAGGTCCCCATCAGAGCTGGAACCTTCTGGGCCTGGATGCGCTTCAGATAAAATTGGAAGAGAAGGGTAGATGTTAAATAGACAGAGCTTCCCAACGAGTGAGCAGGGAATGGATTATGGGTTCGCCGTCATATTGGCCCCTCAGCCTTTGGGCAAGCTGGGCAGGGCTTGGGGTGGCCGGCATCCCCCAGCTTGAAGGCTCTGGGTTCTGTCTGCCCTAGAGCATCAAAAATATATTATCATTTTCTATGTGTACCATGACATGGAAAACTGTTGAGAAGCAAAGAGACAAGGAGTGTCAACTGCAACTTAGTTCACCTTAGTATGTGTTTGTTTTTTTTGTGATGAGGAAGATCAGCTCTGAGCCAACATCTGTTATCAATCCTCCTCTTTTTGCTGAGGAAGATTAGCCTTGAGCTAACAGCTGTGCCCATCTCCCTCTATTTTGTATACGGGATGCCAGCACGGCATGGCTTGATGAACAGTGTGTAGGTCCGCGCCCAGGATCCTAACCTGTGAACCCCGTGCCACCAAAGCAGAACTCGCAAACTTAACCACTATGCAACCGAGGCCAGCCACTCACATTAGTATTTTAAAAACATACCTTCACATTTTTAGAATTTGTTAAGACTACTGCCTTATGTAATAATTCCTTTATTTGAGATGCAATTTGAATTAAACAAGAATTGTACTGTTTTATTGTTTCCCACCTATCGTTTGCCCTTCTCCCATCGTCTGGCATGTGACACATCTCCTTACCTCTACCTCTCAGCATCCTTGTGTCTAACTGCTCCACCCGACAGCTCAGGAGGGATGCTTTTTCTTTCTCTGATACTCACACCAAGCAGCCCCCTCCCAAACACATAACCACTCTCTTGGACACTCAGTGTCCAAATCCAGTTCCCATGTCTTCATTTGACTCTGTTAGCCCCTTGGAAAGGAAATGAAGATTATTCCCATTTTACAGAAAAAAAAAAGAGACAGAAGTCAATGATGGAGAAAAGAGTCAGAATTTGTCAAACCAGGGACAATACCTTCTTCAAATCCAAGCCGGAATAGAAGGTTAGCTGAAAGGGGTTCCAGTTTGCATTTGACTGCAAGTAACTCCTCAATGGCTGTTTGAATCTGTTAAAAAGAAGAACTACCGGGAGTTCATCCCGTAGGCATATTTGGACTCCTCCGTCCCTCACCTCTCCTTATTTGAAGAAGGTTCCCACCTGATGGGCTGTAGCATTTGCAGGGATTGGCTGGCTAGAGACATTGTCCCAAGTAAGGAAGAAGTTCCCTCTGCCAGACACAGTCAGCATCTAAAAAGTCAAGAGTGACAGGATTAATGGATGTGTGTGGATTAAGCCAGAGAGACAGTCTAGGAACATAGGACATACTTCCTCAGCTTGTTATTTTCTTTTTATTATAATTTCAATTTTTTAAACTATCATATAGAAATTTCTGGAGGACACAAGTGTCACTTTTCTTGGAATAATATACGTACATATGTCTGTCTCCCTATTTACCCATGCTACCTCCCCACTTCTCTTTCAAGTGTGAGACTTAAATGTTGCCATTGACTGGCCCACTTGCAGCCCTTCTTACCAAGGACTCTCTCCTGGGGTGGCCTGGTGGGCAGAAGCAGCCACATGGCATGCCACACTCTCTCAGAGGCTTATTCAATCTCTGCTTTGCTTTCAATACATTCCCTGCCAGGCACATTATATTTTTGTTATGGGGTAAGACTTATCTTTTATCACTTGTTATTTTTAATCTCTTATATCACCTGTCATTTTCTACTTTCTTCCATGGTTATTTGTGTACAGATTTTACTATTAGGCTGTAAGCTTTAAAGGGCCAAGTCCATATTGGTCATCCTTGTACACCAAAAAGTGAACAAGGAAAAGTACACCAAAATTGTTCAACAAAAATATGGGGCACAACTGAGAGACCCAAAGGTCTTGACCTTTACAAAGTAGACTTAGAAAACAGAGCATATGGGGAAATAGGACCTGAATTGGTCAAAAAGCTATGTAATCTGACGTGCATGTACACATACGTGTGCACATAGGTAGGAGTGGGTGTCCAGATGACCTTGTCTCTACTTTGGGGAGTAAGTTTCCAAAAGAAGATTTACTTGGAACTTAAATTCCTAAAACCAAATCCACAAGTAAGGTCATCTCCATAGTAAGACTTTGCATTTTTTTTAAATGTCCTCACAACACTATTGGATAGATACCCTATTTCTTCAGCAGCAGAGTTATCATTACAACTCAAGTCTCCTGGCTCCCAGCTAGTGATCCTTCCACTGGGAAAGACTATATTCCTTCCAGAATTCAGCCTCTGAACCAAACCCCATGGGACAGGGGAGAGACACAGACCTGGATTTCCGGAAGTCTCTGAGCATGGGTTCGGATCTGATGCTTCTCCCGGAGGTAAGTGCTGACCACATCGGGATTCAGCCAGGTGTTGTGGATCTGAACCCCAATTCTCATTCCCTTGCTGGGGGCTCTCCCATGATGCTCTGCTTCCAGGTAATACCTGGCTCCACCGAACAGCTCCAACTTGGGGGTCTTCTGTTGCCAGGTCCCTTCATTCCCATTCTGCTCCCAGGAGTCAAACCAGTCGGCAGTGCCCACCATGATGGAGGCCACTTTCACCTGTGCCCCAAGAGACTATCATGATCAACACTATGACGTTTCTGGGCACGTCTTTCTCAAACAGTAAGTGTCTAGACAGCTACTAACAAGGGGTTTTTGGATCTGTCTGCCTTTTCCAACAAGTCAGCCCAGTCACACTAGGGCCTGTGGCTGTTTACGCTTCTCCACCCCTCCTTCTCTCTCTCTCTCTTTCTCAACTGAATAGTATTCAGATAAGGCTGGATGGGCCACATTTAGAGCAGAAACAGCCAACCCGAAACCCCAGGTTTACATGATGCTGTGGATAAAGTAGTATTAAGCCCTTCAAGAAACCTAGAATGACTTGACCACATCAAAATCTATGATGTTTCTCTAGCCAACTAACAAAGCAATTTCATAGAAGCATATTAATAATTCGAGACAAAGATATTGTGGTACTTTGTCAATGGCACTAGTGAATTTTGGCTGTTTGTTAAAAGCACCTTTTCTTATCCTTCAAAGCTGATTAGGAGATTCCTACATAAGACCGGCTACATCCCTACCCAAAATTAGTGGAAAAGGCACAAGTTTTGGAGTCAGACAAATCTGGGTTTGAATCCTAAATATGCCTCTTATTATCCAAGTGGCCCTGGATTGTCCATACAATCCTTCTAAGCCTCAGTTTCCTCATCTGGATAACGGAGATAAATATACAGGGCTCACAGAGATGCTGTGAAGACTAGAGACAAGGTATATAAAAGATGTAGCATAACGCCCGGCTTACAGTAAATGCTCAATAAACAGGCCAACACATTCAGCCACATTCTTTTTCAACCGTTAAAATCATGTCAATTATATCTCAATTCTCAATTTAAAAAAATGAAACACCCCCCCCCACACACACACACACATAAAACATTAAAATCCCTGGTCTTAATAGCGAGTTACAACTGTTAGTAGAACATGAGAGCTTTAGTTTTGATTCTTTTTTTTTGTTTTCGGGAGTGGAGGACTGGGGACAAGAAAAAGGAAAATGATAGGAATGTGAATACCTTGGTCCTTGGGTCCTCTGACCGACTGAAATACAGCACAGCTTGGCTGTCTGCCTGGATCCAGAAAGTGTAATTATTTGTCTCTGGGGCCACAAAGAACCCACTAAGCCGAGCTCTGTAAAGCAGAGGAACACAGAGGAATGAGAGCAGCCAAGGCCTGAATCACTGACCCAGCAAATGGCTGCCCTTGGACTTTATTTTTCTTTATGGTCATGAGGAAGAAACACTGACTCTTGTGCCATGTGATTGGCCAGAGTTCTCTGGAAACAGCTACCCTGTGGTGCCTGCCTCATCTCAGTATCTCAGGCCATCTCTTCACACCGGCCACAACTCCCCTGCAGTCTCATCATCTTCAAGAAAGTTGTAGCCGCAGCACAGGGCCATCTGGAGGCTTAGCTGAGAACATCTACCTAACACAGCCAGTGCAGGGCCTGGCCCATGGGAGGAACTCAGTCAATAGTAAGTATTATTCCTATTATTAGAAATAAAGAGAGATCACAGATTAGAACTGATTTGACTTGGTCTAGAACTCTTGTTCCTTGTCACCTACTCCAACACATTCATATGTCATGAGGTATATTGGCTCACCCATCTGGCCGATGTCAGACATTAGCCGTTTTACATGTGTGTGCGTGTGTAGCTGTAAGTGTATGCAGATAATCATAAATTAGCAAATATGTTCCCTGCCAAACAATCTTACCTTGCTTCTGAACACATTGTGCAGTTCTTTATGAAGGGAGTAAAGTGATAGAGCTGAAATGGCCCCAAATGATATTAAGAGGGGCTTGTCTCTTTCCTCTCCCTCGTGGCAGACACTAACTTCATAGAAGCGGAAGTGCGTCTGCACGAGGTTCACAATACTGGTGTGTCCTCTTTACAATACCATATTCCTATAGGTAAAGAATGATGTGTCTCGTGATGTGGCAGAGGTGGACTTATGGAGAAATCACAAGACTTGAAATCAGAACAATTCAGAGCTTGGTTCTGTCACTTGATAATTGTACAAGATTGGAAAAACCACTACCTATCGAAGACTACAGTTCCTCATCTGCAAACTAGGTTATAAATATTCCCTCAGTTGCTGTATGTCATGAAGTGATATACCTTAGAAAGCCTGGGACATAGTAATAAGTCAATACATAAGAGCTGAACTGAATAAGAAGATCAGGAAACACGCCCGGATGCACTGAAGGAACTCCCTTCATGCTGTCTTGCCTTGCTCTGTGGCTGTACACGTGCCTGACAAGGCTGGTCACTCCTCAAGGATAATGGCCTTGCTCTAGACCTTCTGACTCTCACAATGCTGAACATGGTGTTGTGTTTAATATAGGTGGTCAGCAAACAGATTTTACTTGTTTGGGGTTTGTTAATTAAATGATATTTCACACGCACAAAAAAGGAATTTGCTCTGAGCTTACCAGATACCTCAACACCTGCAGAGTATTTTTCCAATTAAAAATAATATGGTTCACAGAGAAAAGTCAACTGAAGGTGTCAACAATTACAAATTAAAAGATATGACCTGCAACTTTGAAGAAGATGGCAGGCAATTTTATGGAACATTTTAAAAATAACCTTATTTTTTTTAAACATTTAAGATAAATTCTAATGACCTAGTACTAGAGACAGATATGACTAAGACAATGATTAAACTACCTCAATAAATACCAAGAAGATTTTCTGAAAATAGTTTTGAAAATAACTATTTAAAGGTCCATCATTATAATAATTTATCAATCAATAAATATTCCAGTGTTTTTATTTAAAAATTTTGAATTTTAAAGAAATGAATGTCAGAAAGAATGGAAAGAGTTATTATCTGGTTGTGTCTCCTCAAAATGGCAAAGAGACATACCCTACAGGTTGTATCACACAGTCAGAATGGCCTGACTCTCTCCTTAACACTCCCAACACACTGAGTATAGATGAAAAGTTTTCCTTTGAACATTACTGACGGTCCTCAAAAACTATGATAAAGACGCATTATTAGGTGTCACAAGGGACCACAAATTATTGCCACTTTAAAACCATATATTGGAGGTTAAATATCTAATTAGCCAGGCTTCCAGGACAATAGAAACTCTATTCTGTTCACAGGTTTCCTTCCCTGCTTGGCCTCTTCAATGTCTGAAATTCCCTGAACGGGAACACAGCCTTTCATTCCATCATTGAATTGAAGTTTAAAATGGCCAGATCCTTGGAGAGGTCACAGATTGGCTGGAATTCACACTCAGGAGTCATGACCAGCCTCTTTGAGAAGAGTTTTGAAAGAATAGATCCATCACACAGTAAAGGATCCATCCCTCTCTCTCTATATATATATATACACTGAAAGCACACTAAGGAAAGTGTGTCTAAGCAATTCTCTAACTACTTATATCTTTAAGCCTATGTTAGAACACTAGAAATTTTGGCCACATCCTTGGAGGGATTAAAAAGACTCAAAACAACACTAAACAGGAAAACCGTAATCACATTGCTGTCACTACTACAGAAAACCATGTCTCCCAGAGCCCATAGGAGGTCCCTCTGCTATACACCAGCCATTGAGTTGACCTTCGGCACTGGGTGGTCATTCCAAAAGAACTGCATGCTGTCCAGCCTTTGCTCTCTCATATGCCCAGAGGGCAAATGCTTGCGTCTTCTTTGTCATCGGCCAGATATTAATTTCGTCTCTCAATCATGTACCTGCAGCAAGTTTCGCCCTGCTCTCTACCCACTCCCCTGGCCTACCTAGTTCAATTTTCCAATTAATAATAGTCATCTTCAAAGCAGATTGTAAACTAAATTGTTGAAAATAGAAATTTTACCTACAGATCAAAACTTATAGTGCACCTATAAAGGGCCTGTGGTACACTAGTGTGACCAACACCAGTTTAGAACAGTGGTCCAACTCTGTTGTGGTTGAACTGGTGGATGTTATCAGTTTTCCCCTGGAAATCTCCTTGCTTTCTTCTCTGTCTCCTAGCCTCACCTAGGCTAGTGACATGGACTGCTACTTTTCCCACAACATACCTGAAAGGTTGCCCTTCCTTTGACCAAAATCCAAATGGAGAACTGGCATTAGGAACAATCTGCCACCTGTACCCAGGGGTGGCTTCAGTCAGGTCCAAGCCCTCAGCAGCATCTCCAACTTCAAAGAGAAGTCCTCGATTGCCTGCAAGACATGCATATGTCGTCAACATCAGGGGGTTCCTCCCCAGATCAGGGAACCACTTTACCACAGATTACAGAGTGAAGACGATCCAGGCACTATCTAGAAAGGTGAGTCAGCTGAGACCCAGAGGGAGGGTGTATAGATAATACAAATGTTCTGGAAAGCAGAAAATGCTGCTTGGTGTAGGGTTTAGCCTCTTGGAAAGAGAGACTTGATAAGGAACAGTAGGGGAAATATTCTCAGAGGAGTAGGGAACCCTTTTTAATGGGAGTGCCTGGAGAAGAGGACCAAGTCCTAGAGAAAATGTGAAAGAGTAACCAAATGCTCCTGGAGCCCCAAATGGACTTCAGGGTCTTTTAAGGTCCAGTTCAGCCTAGGAATTCTATTCCCTAAGGCCCCTTTCTCCCAAAAAATTGGGAATCTTTAAATTTTTCATGTCATGGCCTCAATTTGTGAACCCGCACATAGAACAAATTATGTGGCATGCTGCTACTACATGACATTTTAAATTATGCTGTACTTATTAATTTGTGTTTTATATTAAGCAAACCCTGAGACTAAAGGCATGTGTGCGATCAATAGCAGATACTAACTTGGGTTGAGAGTAAAAGCTCTGGGAACATACATTTGTGGGTTCAGATTCCATTTCTGCCACTTCATAGATGTGTAACTTTGGGCAAATTACTCAATGCCTTCATTTTCTCATGCATCAAAATGGGGCCAATAATAAATAGAGATAATATGCTAAAGATTAAGGGAGCTTGAGTTACATGTCAATTATATCTCAATAAAGCTGGGGGAAAAAATAAAGCCAACCTGACAATTCTGGCAAAAAAAAAAAAAGACTAAAGGAACTTGAAATATGTGCACAAAGAACCTGAAATATAGTAGGCACCCAATAAAGGATAGCTAGGGTAATTATCATTATTTTAAACTGCTTCTGTTGTTCCTTCTTAAATTCTAAAAGGAGAAATAGAGGAGGAAGCAGCAGAAAAATAAGAGCATATTTTAAGAATATTACTTTAAACCAGGTTTTCTCAACCACAGCACTATTGGCATTTTGGTCTGGATAACCCTGTGGTGAGGGCTGTCCTGTGCACTGAAAGATGTTTAGCAGCACCCCTGACCTCTCCCCACTAGAGGCCAGTAGCATCACCATCACTGTCCCAGTTGTAACAACCAGACATCACCAATGTCCCCTGGGGACCACTGAGAAGCCCTTCTTTACATAATAATTTGCCCCACTTCTATGGAAGAAATTTCAAAAGCTCTCCATAAAGGACATTATTAAGTCTCAGGAACAGCTGCATTCAGGAAATTATCCTACCACAACCCAGGGAGCTAAAGCAGAAACCATTCAAAGCAGAACAGGCTCCCTCTTTCCTGACACAGGAAATGCTTTCTCTCCATCACTTGCTTCAGTAGTTTTGTTTCCTTGGATGGGACCCTTCCCTGAGCAAAAACTGCAGATCCAGGACCTGGAGGATGCTCAAGTCAAATCTTTACATGCCTTTTCACTCCTGAATGGCCTTTCTTTAGAAAGAGTTCTCCTCCTGCTGGGCAACTTTCCTTGTAAGCACTGAGCCTCTGAAGATGAGCTCACTGCCTAGAGTTGAAGCATGAAGTCAGCCCTTGCGGGGCAGGCAAGGAACACAGACGCGCAGCCTGTGGCTCCCAGCTGCGTAACACTGCAGCCACCCTTAATCCCTAACTACACTTGAACCTCCAGTTCTAATGCTTACCAGGAAAGTGCTCCAGTGTGCACTTTTAATTTGCAGCCATGAGGTGGAAGTTTTAAACAGAGGACGGGTGGAACCCTCCGCCTTGCCTGCTCCGTTTCTGCCCACTTAGGCATAAACTGGTGGCAACATCACAATACATTCCGATATTTCAAAGTAGAGAACAGCTTCCCACAGGGAAGAAAAAGTATCATTTACATGCACCCCATTGTGCCCCACTCTCTGGCCTTGTCTAATGCAGTCATTACAAGCATAGAAGAGCGTGCTCTGATGCTCCCATCTGCTTAGACAACGAGCATGCAGCTGACCCATAGCATCAAGGGAGGCAGCTTAGGGGTTTCCTCTAGTAGCTGTAACAATGTCTCGATTGCATTTATGCTTCCTGGGTCGGTCATGGTCTCCGCTGAACCCTGCTGGCCATTCATCTGGCTGGGGCTAGGAGCTCAGTGTCAATAAGCATCTGAATAAAGCTAAGAGCCTCTCTGAAATGAAAACACTGACAGCGGTGTCATGGGCTCACTGAGCTAACCGGTCAAACAGATGAGACAGAATTCAAACACTTTCATTTCTACTTCCCATCCCCTCGTGGCTAAAAATGTAACCGGAGGTCGTTGAACAGCTGCAGTGACTTCCTTACCTGCCTGAGGAGCAATGAGCCTTGTACCTTTTCCTGGAGCCCTAGTGGTGCACTCAATCTTCCTGGGAGATACATGTCTAATGTCACATGGAATGCCTGAGGAGAATGTTAAAAATTAGATACAGATTTCAATGTTGATATCAATATAGATATACAGATGTGACGGCGGGACCACAGGACCGCACTGAAGTACACAGGCTCCTATCCTAAGGCAAAGGGCTGGAAGTGGATAGCATAGCAAAAATTGTCACCTCAATGGAAAGAGACCAGGAAAGGGAGAGTGCAGAGTAATGGAACACAGGGCAGCTTATAGTAATCAGAAAGAAAGTAACATTATGCAATGCCATTTACTAAAGATGAGCTGAACCACTCAGCTGTGCTTGGGAGGGTAGGTGTGACATGAGAGTGTGTGGACATTTTCCTGCATCCTTGGTGTCACCAACTAGAGGAGCATCCCACGTGGCAGAACAAAAGGTTCTACACGGGTATCACAAAAGGGTTTGCCAAGGGGGCATTCTAGAAGAATCTGCACAGCAAATGCCTGCCCTCTTCTGCTTGTCCATATAGAGAGGGCTAATGGGGGAGAGTGGGGAGAGGGATTGCTTTTTAGTAGGAGCAGATCTTTGTGAAGAGGCAGATCTACTTTTCCCTTGTCTTCACTCCCAAGATGGGGACACCCAAGAGAATTGCCCACGAATTGTTGGTGTGTCTATGGGACCTCTGATTCCTGTTGCACATTTGCAGAGCTGCAGGGCTGTAGTCCTACCTGGTCCCCACCAACACAGGTAAAAGATCTTAGAGCAGGAGGGCATGATGAGTCAGAAAAAGAAAAACTGCTGCCCCCACCCTCTCCCTGCCATAAGAGATACATGATCTCCTACAGCATTTAAAACCATGAACTATCTCCAGCCGTTTCCACTTAGTTACCTGCAATGGTAACCTGGGCCGGATTGTCAAAGAAGTCTCCCGTAATCGTGATGTCTGTTCTTCCCCCAAGGCTCCCAGTCTCTGGAAACACAGAGAGTATTTCTGCAAGAGAAAAAAAAAAGGTAAGTTTCTGAATATAGACCAGGATGTGACCCAGATAATAATATAATAATAGAAGCTATTAATAATATATTTCTTTAACTTTCTAAGGCCAGCAACAGTTGGAATTTTTCTAATAATAGTCATTTAAAAATGCACATAATAAGAAAAGTACCCATATATAATAGTATATATTATACAGGATCAATATTTTTAAAGAAGTGGAAATGCAGTCACTCATGGTATCTGCAAAAACCTCTGCATACCCTGATGCTTCCTTAGGAAATCTGTCTCCTGACCTCAAGTAGTCTATTTACGAGCCACAGAACAACAGGTTATACTTTACGGAAGAATCAACTTCGGATGCACCAGGCAAGGTTTCAGTTCACCCATATGAGTCTGCAATTTGCTCTAAGCAAAAGAACAAATTACACTGCCTCAGTACCCTTCCACTCCTCCCCATCCTGCGTGTTCCTTCCTGCCGTGTGCACGCAGCACCACATACTCAGGTCTTCCAAGCTGCCTCCTGATGGCTTCAAAACCCTACAGTACGATGCCACATATTCTCAAGAATTTAACTCTTTCTGATCCTTTCCTCTCCTATGATCAAACTTTGACAATTTTAAGTTTCATTCCCTCAAGGGGAAAGAGGAGCCATGTTCTCTGATAAACCAAAGATGTGAAGAATCTAATCATGAATGGTTACCACTTCAAGGGAATTTCTTATAAAATTTCACCCATGAGACAAAACAGAGGAGATATTTGGGGGCAAAAATTGATCCTTCACACTTGAATATCAAAATTCAACACTAATATATAACCTCCTTCTTTTAACCTACTATTTTATAACCCTTTCCAACATTCATGGAGCACCTACGATGTGGTACTAGGGATACAAAGACGAATACAAAATAGGTCCCGTCCTCAAGGAAATAAGAATGGTAAGGAAGGGCAGGTACACAAAAGTATAATTATCATTGGTCTAGTGAAATTAGAGAGAGCGTGTGAAAGTGCAGAGGAGATGTTTAGGAGTGGGGTGGGGGTATGGTGGAGTAGACAGAAATTTCTGAAATGACATCTAAGCTGAATCTTAAAGGATGAATTAGAACTAGCCAAATGAAAGGGAGAAAGAAGAGAAAGGGCTTTTAAAGCAAGTGACAGCCTGCGGGTAGAAGAAGGAATTGTGCAGTGCGTTTAAGTGTTGTTGGATTATAAGAGAGAGAAGGAGCTGGAGAAGCAGAGAAAGAAGGAAATCAGAAGCTTGTACTATTTCCTGTAGGGGATGGGAAGCCATTAGAGGATAGTAGCAGGGGAAAGGCATTATATGTGTGCCTGATGTCGAGAATCGTGGTGGCTATACAGAGCATGGATCAGCAGGGGACAAAAGGCAGGGTGGGGGCCCCCAAGAAACCATTGCCCATACCAGGCTGAGATGATGGGATCAAGAATTAAGGCAGTGGTTGTAGAGATAGAGTAGATACATCTTCAAGATGTATGTGGGAGGTAAAATTGCCAGAAATTCGTGATTGAATGGATGTGGAGATGAGAAGAGTGGAAAATCTTGGATGAATCTCAAGACTCTTGCTCATCTACTTCTTCCGACAACTTTTGGAGTTAGGACAAACACCGTTTTGTCCAGTTTATAGATGTCTACAGCTCTGAAAGTCCAAATGACTTAGCCAAGCTCAACTAGTAATTGAATGCCAGCCCTCGAGGAGCTCAGCCCAGAGCTCTTTGCAGTTGCCCATCCCCTCTCCCCACAGCCTCCTCTGCTATGAAAAGGTTCTGGCCTGAGAGGCCTCATCCCAAGAAGACACTGGCACTGGAAATATGAAATAGCTGTGTGATCAGAGGTACCTGTGAGCCTATCTGGCATTCAGGGTTCAATATTGATGGGCAGACTCACAAAGAAGCTTGGGAAGGGGGGCAAGGAGAGTATACTTCCCATAGTATATTGGTTCCATGCACAACATTTGGAATTAGATCTGGACTTTCTAGAACTAGGACCTTTGCACAAATGCCTCTCTGAGTCTGTTTCTTCATCTGTAGAATGAGGCTATCATTACCTATCACATCGCTGAGTGAAATAAATATCGAGATTGTATGTAAAACACTCAAGAAGGGCCAGCCATTCTTCTTGCTGCTGTCACTACCACCATCACCCCAGGCGCTTCTTCAAACTTACTCTAAAAGAGACTAGTTACACTGTTTAAAGAAAATAAAGGCAAGGGTAGAAATTCAGCTTTTGCAGAATTAGGCTATCTAGAGAGTGAATGCCATTTTCCCCAAGACCTACGGAATTTCTCACACTTTTGGCAAAGGTAGATTCTGCTGCCTCTGGAATCTGAACCAACCTCACAGGCATTTCTTCAGTGGCTCTGTGATTGTATTCGAGCCTAGAATCTAAGTGCTCTTCTTCAGTAGTCAACGTTCTATTACTGAATTGAGTTCACAATTTCATGCAAATTTTCAATTTTCAGCATTCATTGTTTAGTGTGGAGGTCTACTTATCAGATAGCAACACAGTAGTTTAGCATCAGTACCAGCAAGTCATAAATTGTTGAATGAATGCTCAGAGGTGACGTGTTAAAGTAACTGGAAAGATGTGCTTTCAGGTTTTTCAGTGCCACCTCTTTTCTGTTATTTCTCAGAACATAGAACAAGGATGATTCCCCTTTCATTCAGTCTCTATTCATGGACTTTAAATAGAAGTCTATGATCAAGCCTTTTTTATTATAGAAACCAAAGCTGATATTCATACAAGCAGCTTATTCTCATCCAAAAGCAAAGGGTCATCCATGATTGGAGGGCCACCGTCATATGTTAATGGTCATAGAGAAATGGCCAGAGGAAAAGGAAGGAGGTCCAACGTTCAGTGAGGGCATAAGGGAAGGACTGAGGAGTTCGGAGTAAAAGGAAACAGTACCTGAGTAGGTCTGGTACAGGAAAAGGTCCTGTTTAGCACTGATCAGCCAGGCAGTCTTGTGCACCATTGACCTTCAAAAAAGACAAAGTTGTATTTTGGATGAAAAGAGCATCTAGGATTGCATTTTTAAAATTGATTTCCTGAAAGGCAGATCATGGACTAACCTGTAGTGCCCTTTCGAACAGTTTGGATACCAGCTCTCTTTGATGACCAGAGAATGATACCAAGGGGACAAAGTTTGTTTTCTGATTTAGAAAATTTTTGTTTGGGAATCATAATACCCACTTCACAGCGTATCACAAGCATTAAACAGAATGATGAATGTGAAAGTGTCTGGGATGGAGCTGGCCTGTAGTAGATGCTCTCTATATATTCATTTTATTCTTTCATAAATTAAAGAGAGAGACAGAGAGAGAAAGTCTCCATACTTTGGACTGTGTGGCTGTAGGTAATGCGTCACTAGCACCACATGAAATTCATATTAGCTGGACAATGCACTTTTAAGGAAAACACCTGACAAATTATATAGTGGCAGAACTGAGGTAAGTCATATAGAAATGCAGAATCCTAATTTATCTCTCCAAAGCTCTATAAAATTTGGACCCTTTCCATCATAAAGGAGGCATTTCCTGGAATACTACAGTGTATTTCGTGGAGCTATGTACTGTTGTAAATTTACAGTATTGTGAGATTACTTAAGAGGCAATTCCCAAAATTCTGTACCATCACCACATTAAAATATTTACATTGCCTCAAGATGAGTGCATAGAACTCAATTATACTTACCCAAGTAAAAGAAATCAAGCAAGTACATGGGGATTCATTATTCTATGCTGTTCATGTATATTTGAAATTTTCCATTATAAAAAGTTAAAAAAAGTAAGCAAGATGAGAGAGAGATAGATGATATAAGATGAAAATAAATTTGCTTACTCTCAGGTACTTACTTTCCTTTGTTAAACACTGAGAAACTAACATTCTGGGAGCCTGTAACAAAAAGAAACAGACATTAACATAGGGTCTGCAAGAATTGCCTGGGCCAGGCCATTGCTGCCATAAACCCAAGGACTCCAGCTATCACCAAGTTATCAATCTGTAATTTCTCTAACAGTGCCCAAAATAAACACCTCCCAGACCTAGCACCATCAGTAATGTTGACGTCCAAGAATAAAAGGATAAATTAGCAGTGCATAGTGGGTAAGAGCCCAGACTTGGAGTTAGACTAAGCATGATAAATCCTGCTCCACTGGTATTAGTTTTGATTTTCTCACGTGTAAAGCAAAAATAATTCCACCAACCTCACAGGCTTATTGTGAGGATTAAACTAGTTTATATTTAAGCTGCTTCGTATAGTGTTTTTTCAGGAGTTCTCAACAAGTGGTAGTTATTGTTATCATCCTCATGAGAGCCAATGCTTGAAAGAGTTTTTTTCCGAATACAGAGAAAGAAATGGATAAGACTTTAAAATTATGTTACTTCTCACACAGACCAATGTAGTTGCCTTCCACGCGGCACTGCAGAGTCCCAAGACCGTGGTCTTCCTGAAAAGGATAGCTAGGGAAACAACCCAAAAACAGAGGTGAGAATTACCAGACAACTTAGTTAAGAAGTTCTGACTCTTTAGCCAGGAAAGTAAAAAATAAAATAAAAGGCAAATTAGCCAGAGAAAATTTGTAGGCTCACTGGGGCAAATGCTTAGAGCAGTACTAACTAGACTTGTCATCAATATATGTTACCAGTTGAACACAGTGAGAGACAAAATTTAACTCACTCCTAACCTCCACTCAGTCCTTTCTTTCCAAAACCTATTATATGACAAGTATAGCAAAACCCTTACCAAAAAAAAAAAAAAGTCTATCAAGTGTGAACCCAAAAAAAGGACAATCCTGAGCAACAATCTGAAGTTATCAGGAAAAACTACATGATAGAATTTGGCTCTGCTAAAAGCTAGTCCCAAAAAGCTAAGCCACGTAGTATAATTCTGCGACTCCTCAGAGGAGGGTGAAGCTACCCAGTCCAGGGTGAAGTGAAAATCCAGAAAAATGTTGGTTATCTGAACTGTGAGCATGTAGCCACTCATTTAAAAAAAATGTAGTTGTTGTTTCCTTTGGCTAGGCTTTATAGCATAATAGCGGTTAAGAGCATGAACTCTGGACTGGTTAGTTGGCCCGGTTCAAATCTCAGCTCTGCCACTTGCTCTTTGTGAGACCTTGGGCAAATTACTTAACCTCTCTGTGCCTCAGTTTCCTCATCTGTAAAATGAGACCAATAACTATATATACTCACAAGGTTATTGGCTGCCTTAAATGTAAAGCTTCAGAGCAGGGCTTGGCCAATAGTTAGCAGTTAGTAAGTATCAGCTATTTGTTTTCAAGAAAGCTTTCAGAGTCCACTTCAATTTGCATTTTGAATCAATTACTGTGTCTTTTCCAATAAGTCTAAAGATAAGGCAGTCAACAGTCATGGGTGACTTATATTAAAAAATAGATGTGTGTGTGTGTGTTACACTCACGTGGAAGAACCAAAAGCACATATGTTTGCAAGAAACACTCACCGGCTTCCTGTCTGCCTGTTTACAAGAGAGCAAGGAGTGACCCATCTTTCTCCTTGAGCTTCCAAGATCAATGGGCTGGATAAAAAATGGAAACAAATGACACAAGACAATAGTACAATGCACCCAGCAAATATTCCTTGCAAAACTTAGAGGAAACATTTTTATGAACATTCCCCTCTGAATTTGTGGGACACCATTGCAGGTGGCTGCAGGTTGTCCCCTGAGGAGATGTTGAATCAAATTCTCAGCCGGAAGGCAGGGGTGCACTACAGCGTTTCATGGCCCACCCTTTCACACTGCATTTCCCCTTTCCTGAAAAATCTTCCTCATCTCCACGTTGGCTATATTGGGTCTACACAGCTATTGTGGAGTTTCTGCCTTTGTTCTTCCCTTCAAAGGCTGTATCTTAGACCAACATTGAGATGGGACCAAGTAGTGAATATGGCATATTGTCAAGGATGTACTTGGGGCTTCTCTCCTCCACAGAAAGAGTAATTTCCCTTCAAGATAGGTTGACCATTACTTAATGCCGGAAATGTAGATCCTGAGAGTAGTCAAATCTTGTTCTCTTCAACTAGAGCAGAATCAAAGAGATGGAACAGAACAGAGGAGGACACCCCTATCTTGTCTAGAAGTGAAGGAAAAATTAGACACAGTATAAAGACTCTACTCAGCTGAGCATACAGTAAGATTATGCTCCTTCTGCCATATAAATCCTCACTATAATTGCTTCATATGTGGAATAATCCCAGTTGCTAGGGGCTCCCCACAAACACAGCTTCATCACTTTCCCTCGTATTCTCCTCTCTCCCTAGCAGAGATGGCTTCACAGCACCACTTCCCATTTAAAAAGTCTCCAGTGAAGAAAGTCATGTTGACATCCCAATCATTCCCAGAAAACATTAAAAACTCAACGGCTTTCATACCTTCTTCCACGTTTTCCTCTGATCACACCATTAGAATTTCTAAATGCACAAATGGATAAGAACCAAACGAGGAAGTTATAATGCTCCTTTGGGTTCACACATCATTTTACAAAGAATTTATTTTGGACTAAGAAACAAGTGGGAGAAGAGTGAGCCTCGGAAAAGAAAATCCACAGATGCAATTACAGCACAATTCACACTGATCCCAGAGTGACTAGTTGGCAGTAAATAAATGGACCAACTTAATCGACCAGTCACAATTACATTAACAAAGTTTGCTGAAGCCCAGCTCACCAGGGACCATAGCCACAAAGAGGAAAATGGCAATTCTGTGCCAACTGCTTACAGTTTATTGCTATCAGGGAAGCTGGCCCTAGGAAGCGATCCAGCTTGTTTGTAACTAGTCAAACACAGAAACAAACACAAGCTTACCTGTCAATGTACTCGGCATCAAAATCAAAGGTTTCTGATCTTCCGGTGATAATCCAGCCGTACACTTGTATTACTTTTCCTGTTTTAAGAAGATTTTTTAAAAATCTAATATACTTAGTTCAAACTCTAAATGTATAATGTAAGCTGTATTTCTTTTCGGTTATATCTAGTCAATATGGACAAGCCAGTCAAAAGTCAGAATATTAACACTTTTTTATAAACTGTACAACAGGAAAGGATCACCAAGTATGACCCAGTGATTGATATTACACATTAGAAAGTCTACAATAACCAATTATTGCAATCATAGAGTTAACCATCCACGTATGGAGGACGGAAGAAATAACGGGTCTCCCTCACAGTCCCACGAGGCGTGAGGCTTTCAAAACGAAGGGGCTGGTTTCCACACTCTGCCCTGATACGTTCTCTTAGCTGTGTGTAGACCATCTACCCATCGTGGGATTTAAGAACAGTGTGGATTGGGGTGCTCCACATTTCATGAGACTTTGCTCTGGACTTTTGCTAATGTGGACACATGAGGAGGCTCATATCACAAATCTGGATGGGTATTCAAGGATACTAAACTTTTTTCCATATCTCAGAGTACAAAAGATAAATGTCATGAGTGACCCAAATGGACAGGAACTAAGAAAGAAGGGCACGAGATAGCAACAGAGGTATAGCTTAAAGGATTGGCAATTGCACATCTCATCCATTCAACAAATATGCTCATTTTCAAAGACAGAGCAAATTAGAGACATGCAAACATTTGGTGTCTGCCTTGCTCACTGATAAATGGATGACTTCTACTGCTGGGTCTCCTCTAGGTGATTTGTAGGGATTTCCATTGGGTAACAAATTTTTCCCTAACAGTTCCCTCTTTTGAGTTCGCAAGAATGGGGGGGCAGGCATCAGCAATCCACTTTCAGCAAGGTGCACTCTCAGTACTACCCCCACCGCCTCTGCTCGTAGGAGGTGGGAAAGAAATCTAAAGTAACTCTTTCTCAGAAAGAGTTTGGGGGCCCCTACCGGATGCTACATGAACTGATTTCTTCCATAGTTGAAAAACACCTGAACTCAGTTCTGTGGAACTGCGTGAGGCAAAGTTTAAAGCAAACGTCCCACAGCAGGGTGATGTAGTTAAAGTTCACCACACTAACCACAACCTGGAAACCTGTGCCTTCCAGATAATTAGAGAATTTAACTATCTAAGCTGTAACCTTCCAGCCTCACAATGTTGAGAGATGAGAGAGGCATTGGTTAATGGAGTTAAAACCCCAAAAATGGAAGAGAAAAGGGCACCTATGGGGCTCATGTGGTCACTGAATTCAGAGGACTTTGAGTCCCTTCATGTCCACATTTAGGGCCACAAAAGAGCATTACCGAGAAGTTATTCCCTTCGCATTACTGTTTTATTAATACGCAGTGCTTTTCACCTGCAATCATTGAATAACTGGCACTAAAACAATGGGAACCTTCCAGGAAGTATTAGAGCCACTTTACAGATGAATGGGTAGAAAGAGAGGAAACCTAGAGACTTAGACAAAGGTCAGAGAATTAACAAAAGCCCAGAGTCTGAAGTTCTCTGCTACTATTAACAACTGGCAAAATAATTGCCCTTCATTTTAGTAGGGCTAAATTATTGATCTCCTGGCTTTGGAAGACATGATTTCTAGCTTTGATGGGCATGATTTTGAAAACTATTAACAAATTATAGAAATTAGCAATTCCTGTGGGGTGGTTTTTTTATTATTATTATTTCATTTCAAAGAAGCCCAACAGAGGCTGAGAAATGGCTAAGCCAGATCACGGTGGTGCTGGGGGACTCTGAGTCACAGTGGAGGACTGTTAACCGCATACAGAAATTCAACTGCTCATAAAACGTCGTCTCTCCTGTCCCCACCACCTCCCCCATCTCCCCAGTTGCTACTCTGGGCAGGCATCCCAAATAAAATGAGAGTAATCCTCTGGAAAGTGATTTCAAAGACGTAGCCATGTGGATCCTGCCTGGAGGGACCACTCCAACCAGGCCGGCCACCAATCATCCCCCTAGAAGGTGGAGGAGACAGTGTGCTGAACTCGAACTCAGTGGGAGAAACGGGCTTGACAGATCTAGGTGCCAGGTGACATCCCACTTCACACCTCTAAAGGTTGGCTCCTTCCTCCTCCCTCACCCTAAGAAGACTTCCGCCATCTAAACAGGAGCTTTCCAACACCAGAGCAGCAGGGACCCAAACGTCTGCATGTGATTTTCACAGACCGCATCTCTTTTCAATAAAATATTATTATGTCTTGATTATTCAGACAAATGGAAAGGAACAGATCTATGAATAACCTGCACTAATAAGATAAAGCTGAAGTCATAGACTTCAGGATATAATTTAAATACACACATACATAATCTGCATCAGTACACACACACACACACACACACACACACACAAACGTGCAAACACTTTTTAGTAATTCAGGTATTTATTTTGACATTCCTGAGCAGTCAAGCCATTGTAACAACTTGGTCAGTTTATGCATTTAGACACAACCACATACAAAAATTTAGCAACTTGTATTCCCATACTTATATCATCTGGAAATCCTGAACAAATGAAAAACTTGAAATAGGTGTAGGAATTTGCCAAGAATTAGACAGCAAGTTATATATAATCCTAGCTGTGTTTACTACTTAGTTTTAAGGCAGGTTTAGCAGTTCCTGAATCCATTTCTTAGTCCGAATCCCTTTTGTTATGTAAATGCCCCAGCTTTCTCTGTTTTCTTCTCTTTTATCCTCCTGACCTTTGCATATCTGTGGCTCCCTAACTCATAAACAAACACCCAGGATAAGGATCAGGATTAATGCCCTTCCAAGTGGTACCCAATACTGCTCAACACAGGACAAAATGTTGGGTCTATGGGCCCACTCTGCATCTGACCATCTGGGTTCCAATCTCAGCTGCACTCTTATTAGCGGTATGACTTTAGCCAAGCTACTTAACATTTTGGTATCTCATTTCTTCATCTGCAAAATGGGAATAATAATAGTTCCTATATCACTAGGTTTTCATGAGGATCTAATAAGATAATATAAGCCAAAAGCTTAGAACAGAACCTGGCTCACAGTAAGGTTCAATAAAGTTTTGCTATTAGGTGGATGATTACCAAGTTAAGAGCGATAATGATTTCTATTTCTTCCATTCTCTGGCAGCACCTGGTTTGAGTTTACTTGCCTCTTTTTCTTTTCATGTTTGGATTCCTTTTGTCGTCAGTGAAGTCATAGAGTACAAGTGCCCAGAAGTGAAGCCAAACCAGGATAAAAATGAATCAGAGGTTGACACATTTTCAAAACAGCACCAGAGAAGAAGCTAAATGTTCTCCTTTATAGAGACCACTCACCTGGGTAGAAGAGTTTGCAATAAGCTTTGGCTAAGAGATTCATAATTCGTCCTACATTAATAGGAGATTTCTTACCTGGAACTCCACTTGGTGGATTAACTTGGTAAACCATGGGTGTCTGTGCCCTGGAAAACTGTTTAATAAATGTTATCATAAGTTAGCATTTCTTTAGAACATCACAATCACAAACACAAGAAGCACAAGTCATTCTTTACGGAGCATTCATCTAAGGTAGTAAATGGTTACATTTCCTAAAATCACCTTACAGCTATTTCTTTTCATCTTCATAATATTTCCATGAAACAGAGATGACAGATATTATTATAGTTCTTCCATAGATGATGTAAAGGGAATTTGATCAAGGTCATATAGTTCTCTCTCCTGCACTGTATCACCCAAACCGTCGCAAGCCTGTTTCTACCTGCCCTCCTGCCATACCCAGGAACAGCTTTCCCAAAAGGCAAAGTAGGCAGGCCATGCTTTAGAATACCAACCTTTAATTCCATTGTTGTAAACTGATATCTTGGGATCTTGAGGGTTTTTAATTTTTTTCTAGATAAGACTTTGTTTATTTAAAGTGAAAGATTGCAATTTAAATTATGATCAGCAGCACCTTGGTAAGGATTAGCAAGCTACAAAAAATTGGAAGTGGGTAGGCACAGAAGTGAGGTGTTTGTTGGGAAAATGGAAGGTGCCTGTTGGGAGGAAAATGATTCAAATGATTCAGGGAATGAGAAGCAACATTACTCTGAGAAGAAGGAAAACAGCATTGACGGGAGAGATGGGAGCCTGTGAAAGCCTGGTCATGGCACTCCAAATCTTCTTGTGATGCCCCCTCCCCCGGAAGCACATCATCTGTTAACCACAAGCTCCAGCAAGTCAGGGACAATGCCTGACTCAGTCGCTGTAGATCCCTGTTTATAGCCTGGTATGTAGAAGACATTCAAATTTTTGTGAATGAGTAGAGTGGCCACATCTGAGATACCTGATATACTGTCTAGAAGCAGAAGGGAGAAAAAGACAATTTCAGGAATTCCATCTCACCTATAAGAATCTGGGTTAGTTCAAGATTAGGGCATTTCAAAGTCAAGGGCAATGTAAAGAAACAAAGTATAAAGATGGACTAACCAGGCCAAGGTTTGACCCCTGAGCTAATGACTCACCCAGGAAAAGACTTAGTCTCCCCCTCCTGCTCCCTTCCCCTCAACCTCCTCAAGACACCTAGATCACCTTCATTCCCCACAACCTGCAGGGCTTCCCGTCTGCAAAACAAATGACAGCAAATTGTTTTGCTTGGTCTGCTTCCAGCACCCAGGAGTCCACCTTCCCAGAGACAATATCACCCAAGAATAACTCCCTGGTTAATCAACAACCCTAATCAGACATTGAGAATCCATAGACATTTCAACAAAGCTGATGGCAGCTTGGCAAGTGTGGGTTTTCAGTATTGATCCACATGCTGTACAGTCTGCCATCAAGTCTACTTTCCTCCCCTCCTAAAGGAAAGAGTTAGAAGGTAGTTCACAGAAAATATGTATGGTCAGGGGGTCAAAATAAGAATGCTGTGACCTCACCGATTGAGAGCTGACTCTGATCTCACAAGATAAAGATTAATGCAAGTCCACAGGCACCTGCCAAACACACAATCCCCACCTGGCCTCCCAGCCTTCTACTGCACCCAGGCCCTCACCACTCACTGTGACGCCCTTTGTACCGTTGTCATTTCACCGGAAATTTTATCATAGGAGCCTCATGAAGTAGAGTGGTGGTTATGGCCCCTTCTCACAGATGTTAGAAACTGATGCAGATGGAACAACTGAGTTTAAACCAAATAAAGTAACATGCCTCTCGACTGCCAACTTGAAATATAAGACCCACCACTCAGTCTGTAAGCCTTCCACCAGAAGTGTGGGGGGAACAGAATGATGCCTTCATCGCTCCCTCCCAATCCCTCAGATTGGAGCGTGGGGCAGGCTCAGAGGTAAACCTCAAAAAAGGCTTCACTTCTGATTCTCTCCAAGCTGACATGACATAAAATGGTACATTTCTAAGAGAAACAGGCCCCTGGTCACCCACTAAGCTAGAGACAAGACAAAGTGAAAAATTAATGAGCTTCCGAATCAAGCTTCCCTCACGCTGCTCCTTGAGCTAAGTGAGGTCAGCAGCAGCAAGACGGAGGAGAGGAAAAACCGGGGACTAGAATGACAAAGCCACAGCCACCAGCTGCTTATAAACCTTCCGTGACTCCTTCAAACTTGTCAGTGCCCACAGCAGGCTCTTTGGAGTGGACTGGAGAGACGGGATTAATTTTTAATGCTCACGGTTCCCCCAGTCCCAGTCCCAAAGCAAAGAGACACACCGTGTTTTACTTAGTCTGGTATGCCTCTCATTAACTGCATCCCCTGGTGATTTTTCATCAACTCACCAAGCTGGTTGAACCACTGAAGGGCTTGCTTTCTTTAATGTGCAATTTTAGGAAGCGTTTCTCCTCTTCCCCTCTCTCTCCTTTCCAATCTTTAATAAGCAGGAAAACTAGTGTCTGGGGTGAAAGAACCATCAAAACCAAGAGCAGTGTGGTGATTAAGGAGCATGCCCGGCCATCGCTTTTCTGTTATATTCACTGAGACAGCGTAGACGTGGTGGTGCAGGTCTTAACAAGAAAGAATGAATTTTTTCTGTCTGCTGCATATGTGCAGAAGCAAAATGCCAGAAAACTAGGTTCTCTTGGAGTGAGAAACAAGTTGTTAAATGTTAATTGACAGCAAATTCCAAATCTGAAAAAGGAATTGCCTATATAAAATATGGATTGTATTAGAGATGAATTTAGAGGATGAAGTCTTGTTCTAAAGGAGCATTAATTAATGACTAAATTGTACTTTTCTGAACAGCTCTTAAATAGAGGCGCCCTATGAGAAATACACACATGTCACAGAGCCCTGTCAAACGTTTGCCTTTTATGAAAAGTCTAGGACTTACCCTTTCAGAGATTGTTTCAGTGTAAAACTAATCTGAAATGGACAATAGACTGAACCAAACATAAAATTAAGCCCCAGTATGCGTATTGCATCTCTAAAATAAGTTAGGCATTGGCTCATAAACTCTCTCTCTACATCCTTGTTAGCTCTGAGCTTGAAGGAGAATTCCACCAGCAAATGCCCTTTCAGTCTAGGGTGGCAAAAATCAACCATGAAGCAGGCAGGACGGTGGAAGTTGAGTCCCTGAGTCCCGTCACCATGCTGAGACTAGGATGACCGCAGCTGCAAAATGAAACATGATGCACAATGGTAATCTTTGTGGCTCCCCCACGGGCTTCAGTTTAGGTGAAGATTCAGAGTGAGATGAAGGTTCAAATCCTAGTTCTGCCATTTACTACCTGGGCAAAGTATTTATGACACGGGCAAATTGTTTAATCTCCCTGAGCCTCAAGTTGCTCATCTATAAAAACAGAAGAATAAATAGCTACCCTATAAAATTGTTGCAAGCATTAAATTAATGTGCTCAATATTTATCTTTTGTTAGTCTCGTCTCAGAAACCCCATAACTACCATCCACTTTTCCTCTTACCATGGCAAAGCAGACTCTGGCTGATTCATAACTTGCTTATCAATAGCACAAGCACACCCTCAGACCAGGCGAACACACATTCCTCCATCCTTAGAACCCACCTTGAAAGTACAGCTCTCTCCTAGTCGTGGACTTGGGCTGCCTGCCACCTGTCCCCCAGAGTGCACTTCCAGGTGGTACAGACCCTCCTGTGCTTCAGACAGCGGACATCTGAGGGCAGAAAGTGATAATCCTCGTGAATCAAAATTCATGAAGTGCCCAAGCAACCCCACTTGACCTCTTCAAATCTCCCTGCACCTTGAAACAGAGCTAACCCAGGATTCCTGGATTTCACATGTCACCTCCTAGATCCACTCATCCACTAGACTTAAAGATTGTATCCTTCAGCAAAAGAAGTTATGAATTTTTTTTTACTAAAGTCCCTAAAATTAAGGAAAAAAATTGTCCTGCTTCTCAGAATCATAGGTTCACAGGACCTTAAGAGTTGGAAGGGACATTGATAGATAACCTAATCCTAGTTTCCATTAAAAAAAAAAGTGACAGTTCCAGATAGATTAAGAGGCTTGTGTGTGTGAATACTACAGGTTAAGGGCAAAGTGAGCCTTGAAACCTAGGCTCTTTCTGATAAAAGGCGTTGATTTCACATGTTGCCCCAAAAGTTCTTGACTTCATGATCATCCAGGGAGCCCGTAAACACTTCATGTATCCATCAAGAAAGCACTAGAACTTCTCTCCTTTTCACAAATATCAGTGATTTATTTGCCTCTTCGAGGCTGCCATTCATGTTGATTTTTGTAAAAGGGGGAATATGATGAATAAGAAGCTAGATTTAAGAAGTGTCTCGCCTCCAAACCTTTTCACCAAAATCTTTAGTATGACCTTAAATACTTAAATCTGCTTTGTCTAATGTGTTAGCCACTAGTCATATGTGATTACTGAGTACTTAAAATGTGGCTAGTCCCGATTAAGATATGCTGTAAGTGTAATATACACACTGGATTTTGAAGACTCAGTATGCAAAAAAGAATATAAAGTATCTCATTAATAATTTATATATCAGTTACATACGAAATGACAATATTTTGGATATGTTGAGTTAAATAAATGTATTATTGAAATTAATTTCATTTGTTTCTTTTGAGGTTTTAATCTACTGGAAAATTTTAAATTAAATTTGTGGATTGCATTATATTTTGACTGGGCACTTCTGATTTAGACACTACACTGCCTGTTTTGCTGAAAGCAGATATGTCTTTTTATGACAATGAGTATGACCGTATTTCATTGATGATAAAATGTACATTTTTTCACGTTTGAATGTTAATTGAACTTGACATTCATCTTTCAATCAATGAGTACATTTAAGAGGGTAGTATTTCTTTTTCTCTAAAAAGATGATATAAAATCAAAGATGTGTCTTAAAATCATTAGTATGTAGGGATTTAGGAGATCGAACATATAAATCTTCAGAGCTTTGACTTATTTCATGGCAAACTCTTGTAGGAATTCTATGCCCAAATATAGCAGAAAAGCTAAGGAAAGCGCATAACCCAGTTTTAAAACAAATAGCAGTGCTATAAGGAATTTCAGTTCAACAGACATCTATATTGAACATTTTCTACTCACGAGGTATTGTGCTCAGCACCATAAGGACTACAAGGGTGGGGTTAAACACGTCCCCTATCCTCAAAACATTTAATTCTATAAGTATGAGTCCGACAAGTGGGCAACTGACATAAGTGTCATGAGAAACATAGGGCTGAGGAAAGAGACCCTCTAAGGCTACACGTTATGCCTTTGTGTAAATTACAAAAAAGTCCCCCTTAGAGGATGAATTGACCAAAAATGTATGTGTGTGTGATGTGTGTGTGTGTTTGTGTTCACACACACACATGCCTTGTGGATGAATTACTAAAAGGTGCTCTTTCCTCAAAGCTGTTGCAACCACAGCCTGGATTTCAGCCCTTACTTTCAAAGAAAAGAAAGATTACACTCAGTTGGATGTTCAGGGAAGAGGTGGCATTTGTAGCCTGGTTGGTTAGGATTTCAACAGGCAGAGATGGAAGAGAGGGAGCCTTCCTGAAAGGGCACAGAAAATAAAAGGAAATGACAATGTTTTTCCTCTTAACCAATGATCCACTTTCATGCAGCATCTCTAAGACATGAGTAAAGAAAGAATGAACTAGAGTAAACTTCATAGGCCAACAAAAACTTGAGTAGGACAGTTGATTACCTGGAATCCTGTACAAATTGTATCAAACTCAGCAGATACACTGAAGACTAAAGCAAATTTCCTTTCTAACTGATTTTGGGTTTATGCAAAATCGTTACAATTATGGCTATTCCAAAAGATGAGTTCTTTAGATAGAAAAATGGCACCATTTATTGAAATCTTAATAGCCATAGAGCTCCTTGTAAAAACAAAAATCTAAAAACACAATCCAGCCCCTCCTTATAAATATGTCAAAATTCTTCCCCATATTCTCAATCTCCCTTAAGCCCTGTTAGGGACCTTTTAAGAAGCATATTCACATGGAACATTTTTTAAAACTATAGTTGATAATTGCAGTCACGGTAAGAGTTGCTCTAATTTGCCACCAAAAACTACTGAGGTAAGCAAGCACTGGTCTTGTCTGATCTTCTCATTCCTGGACAGGTGTACCTGGTCCTGCACATCACCACTGGCAAATCCAAGAAGACAGGAGAGATGTCACAGGGGATACTTGGCAGCACAGGCATAGCCACATTCACCAGGTGTATCTCCAGCTGAGAGCCATTGGTGGGATAGAGGAGACCCACATCCAAATCTAAACAGAAGGGAAAGGGGAATCTCAGGCTGAGCAGAGTTGTAATCCACACAGGAGAATATAAAAACACTGCCACACGGGGGCAGTGTGAGACACTGAGTTTGCCTAAGGATTAAATTAATACTCCTCATTTCCAAAGTCATTTATGACTGCTATGTAAATGAGAGTTCTCACTTATGAGTTTACAAAAAAAGCTTCCTCCCTTCAGGTCCATTCACTTAAATCCAAACCCTCAAAATTACCCTTTACTGTGGTAGAAATGGATATGCTAAGCCATGGTTTAGAATCTCCCACATATAGAATTATCTACAAGGAAGATAACCAAGATTCTGAGGAACACATTGCCAAGTACTATGCTATGCACGTCCATATCATCTCATTTAGGGTTCTTAGCGTCCCATCCCACAGTTTGGGTATGATACAAAAGTGGACACAGACATATAATGGTGTGATGGGCTCTACTTCCACTTCTGCAAGTGAATATCTGGAAACACAAAAGCTGGTCAGTTGGTCCATCTCCCTTCAGGCCCTCTTTTACACCTGTCCTTAGACAAGGAACAACACCAAAGACTCATATTCTTTAAGATTCTTTAAAGCAATAAATAAGAAACATGTATTTGGTAAGACCCAAACCTACCATCAAAAATGACTGTGATCCACGTTCCCCCTGCAAGGCTACCCTCTTCAGGTTCAATGTGAAAACTCGGGATAGGCACTGTAAATAAGTAAGAAAAACACAGGTTTGGACGTTCGGATTCAATCCACCAGCTTCCCCAATGTTATAAAGCAAAATCTAGTTAGCGCTCCTCCGAATGACCAGAAGGGCTTGACAAAACACAGATTGCTGGGCCCCACCCCTAGAGTTTCCAATTCAGTGGGTTTGGAGGGGGGGCCAAGAATTTATGTTTCTGATCAGGTGCTGCTGGGTCTACCAGTCTGGGGACCACACCTTCGAAGCTCCTATTTTAAGGAATTGATTCTCTCATCTCATCATATCTCATTATCATCTCATCTCATCTTAGACACCCCAAAACCCAGTGTTTACAGGACAATCCTGAATTTCTACTTCCTTTGGCCTCAAGGACACATTTGGTTCCTAACTGAACCTATAATATCTCCTCTCTTTCCCGCTCTTCAGTCAGGTGGTCATATTTAATCGTAAAATCACCACTTATTTCTTGTACTTCTACTTGTCAGAGAAGAGGAGAAACTTTTGGAAGCTGTCCCTATTTCAAACCTCCTTCTCAGTACACCATCCTCTAGTTTACCCCTTTTGAATACGTGATCAGAGTGACTCCCCAAATAGATACAAACTTCTCTAGATTTTTGCCTTGTCTCCTCAGAGAGGAGCTGAGGCATGGTCAGTGCTGAAATTTCCTTTAAAAAAAACCCACTATAGACTCTACATACTAGCTAGATTGAGTTCTCCTGTAGAGACATCAGCTGAGCATAACCTTAATCAATCTCTCATCTATGAAGATGCTCTTGGACTTGACTTGGCCGACGTAAAGCCAATTCAAGGAAGCAAGCAAAATCAGTCAGCTCCTCCATGAGGTCGTAGACAGGGAAAGTGTTAGCTACAGAACACTGTTCAGTTTCTATATCAGAAAAGTTAAAGGATAATCCGGGCTACCTCCGGCTAGCCCAGGGCTTCCATGTACATTTATGCACGTGGAGCACTGCACAACCAAAGGTGGGGGGGAATCATTCACATCAACACGATTATTCATGGCAGCCCCGGCCAGACCAGCCCATACTTCCTCCTCAAAGGTGTTTTAGATACTTCTACCTAAAGAAGACCAAAATTAATGCCATAAAAAGATACAGAGGATAACCAAATTCACACAGAAAATTAGAGACGTGATTTGAGAAAAGGAGATTTAATACCAGCAGTCATTAATCACTAAGACAAGATAAGTTACTCCCTTTGAGAAGATAAAGCAATAAAATCTAAAAAGAACTACATCATATAGCTCAAAAAGGAATTGCAAAAGGAAGGTTATAAGTTATTATTAAAAGCTCTATACTGTAACAGCAACTTCCACTGGCCATTAAAAATTGAAGATATATTCATAACTATTTAATATACAATCTCAACTAAACAGAAAAAAAATAATATTAAGCAGAGAAAATTTAAACCCAGAGCAAAAACTTCAACACTTTCCCCGAAATAATATTTTAAACATCAATAAACTAGTTCTCAAGTAACCTGTTGTGTTCTGCCTATAATCTCTTCAAAACATATCCTACTCACCTGCCAAAAGTAGTATTTCAATACTTGTCAGAGAGATTAGCCAGACACTCATCTTGTCCACTTAAATTAATCCTCTCAAAATTGCTCAGACATTAAAAGCATTGTCAATTTTGATTGGAGCCATATAGATTTTGTGCTTTGTGAAAAATAAAATGAAAAATTACCATCATTTTTTGCTTACATACTATTACTTTGCTGTGTTAAAACTTGGGAAGTTAAGGAAGTGATATCAAGATGGCCCTGGAGCCTTCAAAGGGACCCACCATCCCAAGCTCAGAAAAAAAGGATAATCTAAGAATTGTATATAAAATCACTATTCCACCCCATCCCCTTGTCCCACCAATTTATGTTATGCATGTTTAAGCTGGGTAAATAATAATAACCTCTTTCATTAACTCATTATTGAACTAAAGCTTAATTTTAAAAGATAAATTCTAGATATCAAAATACTAGCTACTGGTGGTTATGGGGGCGAGGTTGTTTTGTTTTGTTTCTGGAAAGGTCTCAGTCCTCCAGGAACCAATCAACACAAAAAAGTAAAGAGCTTAACAAAACAAATGTTAAGTACGGAAATGGGTTGAAAAAATGGTATTAATGAGAATTTTGGAGAAGTTATCTTATCCTTACCGCAGAACAGAGAGGAAAGAAACAGAGGACTGAAAATCTGGACCTCTCTAACCCAATCCACAATGCCCCGTCTGCCAGACCTGTCTTCCTTAGACACTGCTTCATTGTGCCATTCTTCTGCTTCAAGCTTTTAATTCGATGCAAAATCTTACGTATTACTAAAGGTACATTTAATTTACACTTTTAAGAAAACACTGAGACTAGCAAAAATAGTTATACCATTTCAGAAAATCTAAAAGCCACAATAAATGCCCAGAAAAAGAATATCTGCAAAAAACTTAGAATAAACTTATAAGTATGTCCTATTTAAGAGAGTACAGTGTATAAAATCATCTACATTTAGTTCAACTCCGCAAACATTTATTTTGTGCCTGATATATGCTGGACGCTGGAGCTGTAAAAAAAAAGGGACAAATAATGGGTATACTTGCCCTCTAGGCCCTGGTGGATGTGGTAGGGGTGAAGGCTACCTGGATTTACAAAAGGAGCTCTAGAATTTTCAAGTAGATTCAGCAGGTGTTCAAGTTGCAAAATTCCCTACATTTTTAAATCTATTTGGAATAGAATTCATTTTAAAAACACTCAATTTTCAGAAATACGTCTGCTGCGTAGAGAAAGGTACTCAGGAGTATTTGCTACTTAGTCCAAAAGCACAGGCTCTGACTTGCTTGTTACACCTGACAGAATATCCTTGGCACGGGAAAGTCTATTTTCAATCCGGCTGCATGATGTTAGCAGTTCATTTCAGCGCCTACTCCCAAGCTTAGAACAACGGAAGTAAACATTCACACATTGGTTTTCTTAAAGCCCTATGTTCAGACCTGCATCTTTTCCTCTAGAATAGAGCAATCAAATCAATAATAAATGTAATTTTTCTTAACGTGATTAATCCACTGCTTCTTCCTAAGGATAAACTCAGCCTCCACTTAATTCTTTTAACCAGAAAATTTTCAACCAGAGGAGAGCTGTATGCATTTGGGCAAGTCTTCTCTCTCTTCTTGGCTCCCTCTTCTCTCTCTGCTCTCCTTCCTCCTCTCCCTCTCTTCCTCCCTCCCCTCACTGCAGATCCTCCATTTCCTTTTGTTCACCACAACGTTGGCAGGACATGCAATATCTAGAAAACAGAGAGCAGAGACATTTCTAAATCAAACAGTACCTTTTCTCTGCTTCTGTCTCGTTGTGACTCAAGGGAGAAATTATCTTCCCTTTCTAAATGATCTTGCTCCTCTCTGCCAAGAACCGATGGCCTGTTATCCGGTTAGAGCCCAGCCTGCAGCTACAGTGCAGGTAACTCACTCATGTTGGACTGTAACTCACCTAACTCGTTTGTGTCCCAGCCAAACGTGTGCCAAAGTAAAAGTTCAGAGCTGACCACAGGGCAAGCTTAATGATTAACACAAACTACTTAGGCTTTTCCTCAGGGTCTTTTATTAATGACCAAAGAAAGAGTATCTCGCATTTTTCTCCACTTACTGCATGTGCCCTAGACAAGAATTTTAAGTAAAAGTCCACCCAGTGAGATAAACAGGCATTCAATGATTGAAAGAATTTGCCAGTAAGTCAGTGACCAAACACAGGGCCCAAGAAAAAGGACCACTAGAGGGCTGACCCCCCTTCGTGAGCAGTCTCTGCATTTTCATCAAGAGGAATGACTTGTAAGCAGCCTGCTATGGCTGAAATTCTCACTCCACAGGTGTGGGTCTAAAGAAGCAGACAAGGGCTGACTTGTTCAAAGTCTTGCTAAGAAAGGGCCAACTAGCCCTCTTTGTTTTTTGACTCTCCTCCCTCCCTCCTGACCTCAATTTCTTGACCAAGAGGAAGTCCTTCACTTGTACCCATCACCTACTAGTAGGACCTAGACCATGGGTCTCAGTCATTGTTTTGACTCTATTGATAAAGAATCAGAGAACCAGTAGGCCTAAGAAGTGAACACCATCTTCTTACTTCTCGTCTAATTTCTCTATCTCCATCTCACCATCCATTCCAAGTTACATCACCAGCTTCCTGATCATGTCAGTCCATGCCTGGTGGCTGTTGACCAGAAGACATTCTCATCTTCTTTTCCCACCCTTTATTTTGGGAGAGGAACCTTTCTAGCAGAATTTGATAGCCCTGAGTCTCCATCTCAAAGGACTATCAGTCCTGAGAACCTGGGAAGCAAGACCAGATTTAATCCATAGAAATACAGCACAACTCTGATGAGAGTATTGGAACTATCCTCTAGAAAGTATGGGAGTTTACACCAAATCTGCTGTATATTACAGCTTGGCAACCAGTGACAAGCAGAATGATTTTCCTAGTGCTGCAGTCAGTAGTGTTGAGAGAGGGTCAACTAGTGAACCTGCCTGGTGAACACCAATTTCCACTCTAGATCCCTCCAGTGCAGGTCAACAAGCATCATTTGAGCCACATTTGTGTGCCTGGCGCATGAGTAATGGGGACGAGGGGAGTTTGGGGGAGATCATCAAATGTGATTTAAGAATTGTTGGTAATTTTTTATTTTTGTAAAGGAAATTATATTCATGAATCACTTAGATGATTCAAAATTACTTAAGAATATAACACAGTTTCTGCCCTCAAAGTGCTTGCTGTCTGGCAGAGGAGACAGAATCATGATCAGATTGATTTACTATGTTGTAATCAAGTCTCCTGATTAAGACTTAACTTGTGTTTTATTTCCTGCCACTTTAATAAGAGGTTTCCAGAAATTAACCCCCTCTATCCTTGAGGAAATAGCCTATAATGGACATTTATAATTCTTTTTGGCAGCCTAGCTGTCAAGACTCTATCCTAAAAGCACCCCAATTTTCTTGTGGGTAGATTTACCTCTCCATTCTTGACTAAAAGAATCCTAATGATACACAAGACTTTGGTTTCTGTGCTCCAGGAACTTCCTGGTGGGTAAGCAAGCTCTACTGCTAAAGAAATGGAGTAGAATGAGCCATTTCATGCTCCAAGGCCTAAAAGGAGAAGTTGTAGAACTCTGCAATCCATGGCTCTGCCCAGGGAAGCTCGGCGAGCCTCAGGTACTCCTCTCTGTGATCTCCCTCATCCGTCTCAAGACCCCCAACTCTAAGCACAGATCTAAGTTTGTCATGCGAACACAACCTCAGACAAGGCCCCCCTCCTCCACCCCTTTTCATCTAATCATACTCCCAAGTCCCTTTCATATAGAAAATCTAAATAAAGTCTTGAGCACAGGTCTCTGACCCAATGATAAAGACAAATGCTCCTCAGAAGGCAGCCTGAGCACGATTCCCCTGCCACCCCAAGGTAGGTAGCCAACCCCCCCCCCCACACACACACACACAGATACTGATACTATTCCACAGGAAGCTATTTCTAGGAGAGCTTGTGAAATTCTCTCCACAAAAAATGTTGCTCAGGCCTATGAAGCAAAGTCAAGGAGGTCAAGGGAGGAGGTCATCCTCTGACTCCTTTCTCTTGGATTTCAACACCACTCTGAAATCCTGGGGACTAGCAGCTTTGGAAATTTGGCAGGTGGTGCACATGAGAGCTCACCTCACTGATCTCCAATTATGGGAAGCATAATTGGCCAAGGGTCTAGCTACTGTGCTCTGAGATTCATCGCCACATTTGAACCAAAGCCACTCTTCTACAGGCTGCTTCCAACCAAAGACTGAACATGGCAGGGATAGCAAGAGAGCTCCCTTCAGAGGAGGCATGGGACTCCTGTGATGGAGACTTTGGCTTGAAGACTCCCTGACAACCTTGCAGAAACTTCCTCGGACTACATGGCAGGCTAGGATATTTCCCCTCTCTCCTTCACTAGGGGTCAGTCTGATAGCTCTCCCAACCTTTCCAGTTCCATCCCCATTTTCTCTCTTAGGCACTTCCCCTAATAAAATCCTTGCATTTAATCCTGTCTTAGCTTCTGTTTCTTGGAGGACTCAGACTAACACAGGTACATGGGAAGAGAACACCATTGGCAAGGACTTTGGACTTTTTATTAGTGGCCCCAGGAGCAGCATCAATGGTAAAGATCCTTTAGATAGCTTTGCAGGCCATGGACCTTAAACAAAGGAAGCCAGAACAGAAGAGGAAGGACAAGACCAGTATCATCTAAGGACCTTTCTGAAATCAGTGTTCTTGACATCTTCCATGTGACCCTCCAGATCTACTCTCTACCCTTCTCCACTCTGCTCTGGGCCTGGAAAGGTGATCTGTGTGGAGCTTCCTTGCCTACTAGCCTCTGGTTGGTTTCCTAAGTGGGGGCACCACTAGGAGCCCAGAAGGAGGTGCAGAGGGGCAAGATGTGATAAGGGTATTTTTCCCCCAGTTCCATCCCTACTAATCTCAGCTTCTGACAAAGAACCCTTTCCATATAGCATGCTCTCTTGCTCTCTGACCCTCTTGCTCTCTCTGCAGGTTCTGGTAACCCTTCCTCTCTTTGTCACTTCAGGCCCAAGGGTAACAGCTCCTGTTGCTGCTAGCTTGCATGCACTGCGCCATCCTCTATTGCTTTTCTTTAACCTTGACCA